ATTTAGAAAGTGGTTAACTGTTCCTTAAAAAGATTCTAACAGAGTCTTATGTAGAACCTAATTTATACCTTGTCTCACAGATCCAGTGTTCCACTAACTATCAAAACTTTGGGATTCATACCCAGTGGTGGGGGAAGAATTATCCAGTTGTATGAATCATTCTAAATCTGGTACTGATATTGAGACTATTTCCTTACGTAGCGTACAAAAGCAATGTGCACAAAGAAAAGGAGTTGAGAGTAGGAATTTTACTTTTGTTACAGAGTTGTTGTAGGCAATAAAGTGTAAATTAATTATTGAGACCTAAAATAGCATGAGTATAGAGAGATGGTGGTGGTATGTCCACTTTGATAGTCTATTTTAGATAAATTAGATGACCTTGGGATAAGGATAGTAATTCAGAACTAACATTATATGGAAAATAAAAGCTTTTCAGATTGAAGTGTTTCCCATGCATGGTGAACTCTTTTAGAGAGGGTATTGAAAAAACTTAAGCCAGATGATATTTTTCTTTAAAGTATTTGCTGCTGTTTTATGCCTTCATATAGAAAATGGTCAAAAACCTGCATCAGTTTGGGTGTTCTAACTTCTTTTAATCTTTTGAACAATTTTTGATCTATAGGGGCAATGCTGTTCTATTTTTAAACTCTCTGATATGTCTTTTTTTAAGTGTTTGTGCGTCAGCATAGCGTCTGTTTCCTTTTTTAAGGAATTCAGGAGTGATTGTTTATAAATCCTTGTGGAGGAGCTTATTGTTTCTTGTACTTTTTAAATGGCTGTATTAAAGGGAGAATTATCACATGAACAGACATCCTGATTAACAGTGTTTCATGATGGTGGTTGGGGGAAGGGTGTTCTTTACATAACTTTTTTATGTAATAAATATTTCATAAATCTCATTGACCTTGCCAAATAAAATGTCGTGTCAATCAAAATAGGGACACAAGAAAAAAGAATTGGATTTATCACCTCAAATCTAGTATGCTACATTCTGAACATTAAATATATTCTGAATTCCTAAGATTTTTAAGATTTGTGCAGTAAAATATCAAAGAATGTTTTATAGTAAGGGAGACGGAGGCAGCTAGAAGGCCAGCAGAAAATAATAACTACAGTTCATGTTTGAAATAACCTGGACCTAGAACAGGGACTTGATGGTAGAGTTGGCAGGTATTTGTATAGAGAGGTGGTAGGTATCAAGAGGGTGAAGCAATGCAGTTAGTGAACCTGGTAGAAATCTTAGTGTAGGAATTTGAGAGTCAAATAGAAGAGTAATGTTACGCATAATGATGAAGCGGGACAAACTAAAGGGAAAGTTTTTATTGTTGCTCATATGGAAATTCATTAGGTAGTCATGTTTGAGAAAGAACATTATGAAATTACCTCTACAAGCAAGTGATAAACATGAGAGAAAGAGAATATCAAAATAGGCTATTTTTCATTTTCTCTCTATTATCTGTTCAAGCTTACATGTTAAAGCGAAACACAGCCTACCTTTTGTGTTTTAATGTGTTTGCCTTCCATCTGTCTCTGAAACATTGTTTTAGAATAAAGGTAGGTAACTGCTGCTCCACAACCGAGACGGTATAAAACTTAGCTTTTATCACTGCCTGATAAACAGAAGTAGGTACTTGGTTTTTTTACAAAATTATATAGCCTGTACTTATTGATGGATATTTTTTATATCAAGTTATCTTAGCCTTTTACATCATCAAAAAGATAAAGGTCTCCAGTGGTTAGTGTGACATGGTATTTATTACAATCATTGAAATGGAGAATTCAGTGCAATAGAAATAAAAATAGCTTCTGGAATATGTACGCTTTTCTGTGTAAAATTTCAAATACAGATATTATATCTTTTCTTAATGTAAGTTTTTCATTCATGGCAATTTTTCATTGCTTTAGACTGAATATAGAGTCTATATAAATTAATGCAAGTCTGGGAATATATGCAGCCTTTAAGAAAGTTTTTGAAAGTACTTATTTAAACTCTTGCCAAATTTTCTTGGTTTATTTTAGTTTCTGCTGTTTTTTTTCTTTTTGGCAAGGCTGCTTTTACTTCCAGTTTAGCTAAAAACAGCTTAAACTTGTCATTTTAGAATCTATTATAACAGTGATGATTGTGGGTGTTTTTATTTTACTGCCAGCTCCAGGAACTCCTGTTCTGCATACCGTGTACAGGAGGTTACAGCTGCTACTTCCTCAAATGTGGAAGGCGGCTTATTAAGAGTTACAGACTCACAATTAGATCGCTAATTTTTCAGTGATTTTTCTGGTGCCTTTAACCAAGATTAGCAGCTATAGCTACATTCTGAATTAATCATTTATGTATATTTCTACAGTGATAATATAACTCATAGATTGATTCTTTATATTTAGATCTCACAGGTATGGAAACCTTAAGTGATCCTTTCTTTTAGGGAGATTGCATGATATGGTAGAAAAGAGTATCAAACTAGGAATTACATGATCTGGGCTCTGGTTCCATCTCTGCCACTCTACTGTGTGACCTTAGATAAGTTTTAGTTACTTCTCTCACTTGCCCTACTCACCTCAGAGAAATCATATGGAATAAGTTATGTGAAAGCTCTTTGAGAACATTATGTAACATATCAGGAATTGATGTTATCCTGTTTGACTGATGTGGCACTGAGGCACACCTAACTTTCCCAGCATTATCATCAGTTGCTAAAGTACTGAAATGGCCAGAAGTTTTGGCTTAAGAAGATGAAAAGTCCATTTTAAAATAGTTTGCCTTAAAAAATAGCTACAGTTTTCTTAAAACATATTTTAATTCACTTAGAACTTGCTTTTATTCTCTTTTTCAACTTAAAAGTACCTTTGATATCCCACAACTTTTTAGCCTGATTTAAGAAATGGATATGGATATTGATTTTAGACTTTTAGACTGAAATAAACTTTTTGGGTGGGAATGTGTGACTTGTCTGCTCATGTCCTTCACCAAATTTTTGTTAAGATTTCTCTAATTCATTTTTAAGAGTTCTTTATGTGTTAAGGATGTCAGTCTTTGTTAAATTTGTTCCTTATAAGTTGACTTTAAATTCAATTTGTGATGTTTTCCTTTGTATATTGAGAAAATAATTTTCTATCTAAACATTAAATTAAAAAGGCGGTGTGGGGAGCATTCTAAAAACAGCAGCTCAGGGATGCTTAGAGCAGTCTGTACTGAGGGTAAGGGCTCTCTCTCCAACAGTGACAACTTAGCATTTCTAGAGTGGCCACTGCTTTTGCTTCCTAAACACATGCTTTTTTGAGTAGCCTCACCTTACAAATAGATTTGCAGAACAGGAAGAAGATTCTTGAAAGGGAGGATTGTGATGAAACCGATAAAAATCTCTGTTTTAAAATCTTGTACAGCCTTCTGTTTTAAAATCTTTTCTTCTGGATGAGACATTAGTCTTTAACTTTTGAGGATCTCTGTAACTGAAGACAAACAATAAAATACCAACAGACAGGAAATTATTAAATGATTATATGTTTTTAAGTTTATTTTATCAATATCCCACTCTAGCCTCAGAGGTATAAAGCTAAAGGAGAAGGGGACATTTAAAACCAATTTACTTTTATTCTTTAAATTTTTCTGTGACTTAAAAATTATAACTTTAATTCAAGGTTGTCTGATATTTAAATCAGTTCATTATCTTGACCACATATACTAAAGATTGGAAATAAATTTTTGTTTTATAAAAAATTAATAAAAATAAATTATAAAAAATCCATCAATTTGTTTTTGGAAAAAAAGTCACTACATTATAAATATTTTAAGGCCAAATTTAGGGTGTTTCTTAATCAGAATCAACCTACGTAGAAATTTTCCAAATATATTGTTTTTGCCAAATCCTATGCTAATAAAAGTCATCGTCCTTCTTATGAAGCTTTGATCCACAGTGTGTAGCCTAACAAAAACAAAGGCATTTGCCTACCCTCAATGAATTGACCATTAAATTAGAGTTTACCAATCCATAATAAAAATAGGAAAAGAATTCTTCCAGTAAAAGACTCAAATTAACAAACTTTTCACTCCTTAAAGACTTCTTACAACTAAATGTGGACCTTGATAAAATTTGAATTATAGAAGTGAGTAATTTTTTTTTTTTTTCCATTATGGGAAGATGTCTTTCCCCCTCTTTATGCAGAAGATGACAGCCCAGGTCTCTTGTGCTGATGACAACAGCCTTTATCCACAACTTGGGAGAATACAAGTTGGGGAAGTGATCACATTCAGTCAGCCTCCTGTTTTACTTCATGGAAATATGAAGGAAAAGTAGGTCCTTTAATGGAAGGGGTTGGAGTCTCCTGCTCTTATGATTGAACTCTCATTGTGACTATTTGAAATAAAAGGAATTAAAAGTTAGGAATAGGAACAAACCAACATATTCTAGCACTTTTAGTAGTTTTAATAGTGTATAGGTATTTGTAAACATCTTGTAGCAATTATAAGTAAGATTTCTAGCAAATAAAATAATTTAGAAACTGAATTTAACTTAATCTACTACTTTATAAGATTCAATTTCTAGTTATATGCTCTGTTAACATGACTTAAAGAAATTTAGGTAACTGATCTTAGATAAACTAAACTGGATGTCAGGAAAAGTAATGGGTTATTGCTGCGGCCTTTCTCTTTACCAGAGAGAAACCAACTGGTGATGCTCTGAGATCCTGGTGGTAGGTGGGAGCCTGGTTCCATGCTCTGCCTTTGCCTTTCTTCCTTGCGCATTCCTGTGGCCGATGATGAGTTTGAGGTCAGCTGGTCAGAGTGTGCAGAGGGCAAGAAATAAGTTGATGTAAAATTTTAATATCAATGTTTTTGCCTCTAATTTAGGAAGCACTAAAGCTAGCACTGCATTACAGAGTCCAAAGCAGTTTACACGTCAAAACATTTTGGTACTTTGAAATGTAAATGATAATGTAAATAATACTTTTAATCATTCTGAATCCAAGACTTTAATAATCTATTTTTCCTTTTTCTTCTTAGATCCCAATTTTGTTCGGACATTTCTTACAACATACAGATCTTTTTGCAAACCTCAAGAACTACTGAGTCTTATAATAGAAAGGTCTGTCAATTTAAAGATGTTTAAATTTTTTTTTAAGAGATTGAGTTACGGTCTTATATGTTTTTCAGAAATATGTTGGATGAGTTTTTAAATTGTAGTTTACGAGCACTTTTTAAATAAATAACATTTCTTACATGACCATTTACAATAATATGTTAGCTTTCTTTAAATATAAAAATAGGTCATCTTTTTTTAACATGAAAACTCAGTATTTGAAATTTCAGATTTATAGAATTAATCAAGTTAAAGATCTGTACAGAAATGTATAATTTAGAGTCTGGAAATTCAAATTTTGATGATTTAGATGTTCTAAACAGAAGTTTGCAAATATACTACATGTTGAGTAAAATGGAGCTTGTCAGTAAACAAACACTGTCATCAGGGTGTTTCATCCACCCAAATGAAGAGCAGTCAACTCTTCAAGCATTACCCTGAAAAATTATTGTCAGCTGATTTAGACTGTAATTCTACAAACCAAAAATGGACATCAGTCCCATAACTTTATAATCACATTTGATTTCAGATTTTACATGTATTCTTTGTGTTTCTAGTGTTATTTATATTGGCAAGTACTAACTTCTTAAAAAATTTTTAGGAATAATATCTTTAACCTTTACATTAGAGAAGCCTCACTTGTTTTCACTGATGTATTTATCCTTAGTCATATTTTTACAGTATTCTCTCGATTGTGCTGACTATTGAAAAGGTTTGTGATTTTCTACTTGAATAATTTGATATAATCAGTATTTTCATTAATTTGCTCTGTTTTATGTCAGGTTTGAAATTCCAGAGCCTGAGCCAACAGAAGCCGATCGCATAGCTATAGAGAACGGAGATCAACCTTTGAGTGCAGAACTAAAAAGATTTAGAAAAGAATATATACAGCCTGTACAACTGCGGTAAGCATTAAGCAAATAAGTGAAGTAGTCAAAGTATATAAGGATCTTTCCCAAACAAAGAGAAGGTAACAAATAACATGCGTGAATTAGATAAGAGCAATTAGGAATTATTGTGTTAGTCTTTTTTTTTTTTTTCCTTTTTGTCTTTTTTACTGACTGGTAACGGGATCGCAACCCTCAGTGTTGCACCCGCACCGCGCTCAGCCAGTGAGCGGGAACCGGTCTCCACATGGGATCCGAACCCTCGGCGGGAGCGCCACCACACTCCCAAGTGGCGCACTCTCCAGTGCGCCACCGGGCCGGCCCTTGTGTCAGTCTTAATTACCAGATTTTTGAAAGTGTTAAGCCACTGATAAGATTATTCAGTTTGGTACAAGTTACTCTGTTTTCATTTATATCATTTATTGTGATAAGCATTTATATTTGCGTTCCCATGAAATTCAATTCTGTTAATGCCATAGGGTACTAAATGTATGTCGGCACTGGGTAGAGCACCACTTCTATGATTTTGAAAGAGATGCAGATCTTTTGCAACGCATGGAGGAATTTATTGGAACAGTAAGAGGTATGTTTTTTAATGTGGCTAGTTTTATATGTAATAAAAGTACTAATATTTTGACTATCAATTGATGCCATTATTGCTCAGTGTTGTTAAGAGATGTGCATAGTAGTGCCAGCAAGACCATTTGAAAATGTTGAAAATTTTCATCAAACATTAGGCCTACAAATTGCTCAATTATCACCCTGATGACCCAATGTATTTTCAATTAAAGAATCAACTTAATGATTATTTTAGAATTGGTTAGGAAAAGTCTCAGTTTAAGCTAAGTTTTTACACTTATCTGAAAGTATGTGTACCTGAGGGCATTTAGGAACTGTTGTGCCATTATAACACCACTGATGGAGGTTGAGTGGGCCACAAGTAGGTGAATAGAGAGAATCAGAGAGGAAGCAGAGCATATTAAATGGAGAGTCTGTTGCTGACACTTCCACTAACCAGATGCATGACTTTGGACAAAATCACTTTGATTCATAAAACTTCATTTTCCTTATTAGTAACATGAGAAGCTAGATTTGATGATCTCCAAGGTTTCCCTTCTAGTTTTAAGGATTCTATGACTGTATGGCTCTAAATATGTCCTAGACAAACTTGTTTTTATTTCCACTGTACACTCTAAATAAGAATCAGAAAAAAAAGTGTAAATAATAGTACTTTCATATACAGTACAAAACAGAGCCACATCAAAACTCACTAACCTGAAGGAATCAGTCCTCTGGCACTGTTTGGTTTATAAAATGCAATGTTAATTAGATTAATAGTGAATATGTATAAGCTGTATTTATAAATCTTTTGATTTTTGTAAGATACACCTTTTTTTGGAGGATTATAAAATGATATTTTGAATTGAAGTCCAGAGCAATACAGGTGAAAAAATCTCTACAAATAAATTACTTTCTAATTTTATTTAGGAAGGATCTGGAAGAACACATGCCAGAATATTAACAGTGTTACCCCATGTGGAGAATAATGAGATTGGGATAGGGGACTGGGTAATTGTAAGGGGGAACTTGGACTTTTAATTTTGATCATTTGAACATTTTATAGCAAAGATATACTCAGGTATCACTTGGGTAATTTTAAATCATTTAAAAAAATAAAATATTAAGGAGTATTTAAATGTTATTTAAAATATAATGTATTTCAGGCAAAGCAATGAAAAAATGGGTTGAATCCATCACTAAAATAATCCAAAGGAAAAAAATTGCAAGAGACAATGGACCAGGTCATAACATTACATTTCAGAGTTCACCTCCCACAGTTGAGTGGCATATAAGCCGACCTGGGCACATAGAGACTTTTGACCTGCTCACCTTACACCCAATAGAAATTGCTCGACAACTTACTTTACTTGAATCAGATCTATACCGGTATGTAATTTGACATTCAAGCTGAAAAATCATTTCAAAAGAATTGTTTTTTAAATGAAATACTGGTTTCTGCCTTACAGGGTTGTCATAAGACATAAATGAGATAGTATGTGAAATGTCAAGTAATAAGGCCTGGCAAGCATTTCTTATTCTTTCACTCCCTTGGTGCCAGTTGCTCTGTCTGAATTTATACCTCCTCTCTTTCTGCGATCAGCCCTAGTTGGCGAAGCTAGGTTCAAATCCTGGCTTTACCAATTGCTGGCTTGGTATCCTTGGGCAACTTTAACCTCTTTGGGTAACTTTATTCTTCTGCCTCTTACTTAGTTTCCTCAAGAGTAAAACGGGGCTAATGATAGTATGTACTCCTGGGGCTGTTGCGAGATTTAAAATAATAAGTTTATAGTGCTTAGCACATTGCCTAGCACAAAGTGAAGTCTCAATAATTATTAGCTGCTGCAGCTGTTGTAAACTTAAATCATTGCATGTTAGAGGCTTTTTTAGTTTATCATTCTGCATTAATGTATAACTACCATCTCAAAAAATGTCTTCCTGGTTTTTAATGGGGACTATTTACATTCTCAAACTATTTTTTAATAAATGAGAAAAGGAGCTAAATTTATAGATCTCTTCCCACCAAAAATTGTCATATTCCCAAAAGTTACAGTGTTGGAATCTATTTTATTTATTTCCGAGGAGCCTTTTGTGGTTCAATTCAATTTTTTATGAATTGCTATGATTACTGTACCCTCTTTGAACTGATTATTATAACAGATATCATTATTTAAATGACTACTTTGTCACCCTAATTTACTAAATGATATTTGTAAGTGAGGGGAAAGATATTATGGAGAAATCTCAACCTTACCCAAAGCAAAATGCTACTATAAAGCAATAATAAAAGTACACAGGTACATCCATAAAAACATTTTTAAAAATCCGTAGAGAAAGATGATTAATTTTACTTTTTTTGTTATACCATGTTTTTAGTTAACCTTTCCGTTGGTGTAAGAGGAAAGTTTATATGGGAGTTTAGTTTTTATTTATCTCATCTAATTAATAAACCATTGTCTATATTAGAGAGAAAAGTATCACGTAGCATTATGTATTACTGATTTTAGAGCTGTACAGCCATCAGAATTAGTTGGAAGTGTGTGGACAAAAGAAGACAAAGAAATTAATTCTCCTAATCTTCTGAAAATGATCCGACACACTACTAATCTCACTCTGTGGTTTGAAAAGTAAGTATTCCTGACATTTTTATATTTTATAGCAGTCAGCTACATTATGAATTTCAATGCAGTTTTACTTCTATATGTCTTATGCCTTTTTGTTCCTCTATTCCTTTCTTTTTGTATTAAGTGAATATTTTCTACTGTAGCATTTTAATTTCACTAATGTTTTTTTTTTCTTTTGAGATTTTTAAAGTGGTTGCTTTAGGGTTTACTGTTTACATCTTAACTGTTAAGAATCAGCTTTATATTTATAGTAGCCTAATTCCGGTGATACATAGAAGTGTTACTACTTTATAGCTCTGTTCCCTTTCTCGCCTTTTTGTGGTGGTATTGTAGTGCATATTACATCTAATTAATGATTCAAATCCAACAATACATTGTTATAATTATTACTTTACCATTTGTTCATTCTTCTAGCCCATTATAGCTTTGCTCCATCCACATCGTATGTGCTGTTATTGGCAATATATTACACATATATTAGATTTCTATGTTTTAGGCCCAACAGTGCATTCATACACATTATTTTATACAGTTGCTTTTTAAATCTGTTAAGAGAAGACATGAGAAAAATGATGCTTGTACACTGTTTTTTGTAATTACATAATTACCTTTACTGGTGCTCTTTGGATGTGAATTACCATCTGGGATCACTTGCTTTTAGCATGAAGAACTTCCTTTAGTATTTCTTGTATGGCGGGTTGGCTAGCAACACTCTGTTTTTGTTTATCTGGGAAAATCTTTTTTTCACCTTCATTTTTGAACAATAGCTCTATCTTCAAGTTAGTTAATTTTTTCTTCTCTCGGTTCAAATCTACTATTGAGCCCCTTCAGTAAGTTTTTTATTTCAGTGAATTGTACTTTTCAATTCCAGAATTTTCATTTGGTCCCTTGTTATATAACTTTTCTCTTTAATGATACTCTCTGTTTAATGCACGTTGTCATCAGTACCTTCCCTTACTTCTTTATCATGCTTTCCCTTAATTCTGTGAACATACTCATAATGGCTACTTTGAAATATTTTTCTGTTAAATCTGATATCTGGTCATTCTCATACTTTCTTATTTCTTTGCATGCCTCATAATTTTTTGTTGGAAACCTGACATTTTTAGGCAATATATTGTAGCAACTCTGAGTACTTGAGTAATGGTACCCCTCCCCCCTTTCCAGGGTTTGTTATTGCTACTTGCTTATTTGTTCAGTGAACACACACACACACACACACACACACACTCACTCACACACACACTTAAGCTCGATTGTTACTCAGGGAGGTGTACATTTGGGTTTGCCCACAGTCACCGTGGGAGGACTGTCATCCACTTCTTCCCTAACCACACACCCACCCAGCTATTAAACGCCACTAATTGTCCAGCTGATTGCTCTGTTGTTTTCAACAATTCCCTGGTGGCATAAATTGCTCCACAAACTAATCCAATCAAATTATGATTCCTTTAAAGGAATGTTTTCTGAGATCCCTGTTTGATATTTGTTCTGACACCAGGAGGGCTCCTCTCAGCTGTCTTATTTCCTGCAAACTAGCTGGCCTACAGTCTAGACTGTATATAGATCCATGAATCTCCTCCCCGATTGCCTTTCACCACATCCTCCACTGTTCTTAAGAGCATGCTTAAATTTAAACTTCCCCATACTTTGTTGCAAATGACAAGAGATTAGGAGCTGTCTGTTTGAAACAGGGCTCTGGAGCTGGGGACAATGGTAAGCTTCTCTCTGAGTGACTTCCTGCTCTAAGAATTGAGTACTCAGTGGAAGGGGGCAGTGGAAAGGCAAGCGATGGTGCTGTAGACTGAGCTCTTTTTACTTGCCTTTTCTGGCATGGAACCACGGCTCCAAGAACAGAAAAAGGGCTATTTTCTCAGTTTCTAAGCACATCTTAGAAATGGTAGAGTCTCCATTCTGTAAGTGAGAGCTGGACAAAAGAAGGGAGTCCCTGCTTCTCAAGAGTACTCAACATGGACTTAGCCTCAGCAACAGACAGCTGAGGGCAGGATGAGAAATGCTGAAGTCCTGCTCCTCCACAGAGGAAAGCCCCCCAGCTAGGAGCTAAGTATTCTCTTGGCAGCAGCGATTTGGAGAGGATGCTCTGTTCACCCTTGCCAACCTGCTTTATCTTCCAGTCTCCTTCTATCTATCACTCTGAATGTGTCTTCTCTGTAGTTTCACTATCGCCACCCTCTCTAAACATACTCGACATTATTTTATTTACTAAACTTTTTAAACCATAGCTTTATTGGAAAAACTCTAAAATTTTTCATTTTTTTGTTTTTGATTCCCAGATGTATTGTAGAAACTGAAAATTTAGAAGAAAGGGTAGCTGTGGTGAGTCGAATAATTGAGATTCTGCAAGTCTTTCAAGAGCTGAACAACTTCAATGGTGTCCTTGAGGTTGTCAGCGCCATGAACTCATCACCTGTTTACAGACTAGACCACACATTTGAGGTAAGTTTGTACATGTGTTTTCTAAATAAGCTCCCATTGCCTATTAATACAATCCAGGATTTTAACAATTATGATCTTTAATTTTTAAATGTTTCCTCTGTCTTTTCAGTAGCAGGTTAAAATATGGAATTATTTAAATTTTATAGTGAATTGGTTGCTCTTTTTAAATTAGGCATTCTCATAAAAATGTATTTCATAGGTCCCAGCATATATAATGTACAACTAAATGCTTACATAATTGTGTGAGGGCAAGATAGACTAGATCACGTGCACACACACACTCTCTTCTTTAAGTTTGTAGCAGGGTCTGTGAAGATAGTTTCTTTGAAGTAGTATCACATTCTTAGAATCAAATTGATAAATTTGTTTGGGCCTCATTGTTAGCCTCATATTTTTTGGCAAGATCTGTGATTCCTTTTATAAACTTATGCCTCCTAAATATTTTTTTTCTTATAGCAAATACCAAGTCGCCAAAAGAAAATTTTAGAAGAAGCTCATGAATTAAGTGAAGATCACTATAAGAAATATTTGGCAAAACTCAGGTCTATTAATCCACCATGTGTGCCTTTCTTTGGTAAATATTTCTTCCTGAATTTTTACTGTTTCTGGATAAAACAAGACACTTACTTCATTAAGTGACTAAGTACAGACATGTGTAATAACCTGCAGAAAATAGTTATTTAATAAATGTTTAGCACCTAAATCCTCTTGGAATTTTTCTCTATTAGGACTTCTTAAGATCAAGCCAAATATGTACATTTTACTTTCTATTTTCATCTTGGGTAGCCATTAGATATTATATAATACTTATGTTTTTATATTCATAGAAACCTGTTTAATTGACTTTTAATAAATCAAGTACTCTACAGAAGAGACATGGCCAAACTCATCTGTATTTATAATCTTTCTTTGTAAACAGTTCCACATGGCTAAAAAATCATAGTGCCTTTGGCTTATCTTCAGCACATCAAACTTTTATTGTCTTTACCCACCCTTTTTTCCCCCCTTCTACATCAAAGGAAGTACCTTTTTCTTCCTTTTAAGACTGAATCTTAATTCATCAAAGTGGGTCAATTATAGGCCCTTGCAGCTTCAAAAAATCTGTTATTCAAAATATGTTCATACATGACTGTAAGTAATATTTATGTACTACTGTAAGTAATATTAGTGTTTGTGAATTTTTCAAGTTTTTATTATTAAATTAACCAAAAATTTTAAAAAGACTAAATCTACCATCTGAATCTTCTCTCTCTTTAGGTCCCTCTATTTTCATCCACCATTTCTTTCCTGTATTTCATATCTTCAGTATCTCTTTTACATTGACTTCTTTTCTCTGCCTGTGTGTATGGTCTGATGATCCTTCCTCTGAATGCTTATAGGCATTATGATCTATATCACACCTCTTGTGTTTAGTCTTTTTAGTACATGGTATATTTTCTTCTAGTCTTTTTCTCATCTATATCTATTTTTTTTTCTGCTTAGTTTTAAGTTATACTGCACATAACAATGTTATGTCCTGATATTTTTTTCAATTAAAATATCATGTTTTCCCACATTTTATTGTGTAGGCTTTATAACCAACTACTTATGTATTTATTTTTTAATCTTTTTGCTATGCACATTGAGTATAATTGTAATTGTATAACATGTACAAATTTTAGTTTTTTTTCACTTACCATATCCTAAGTGTATTTTCATAATGGCTGCATAATATTCCATAATGTTTGGCTATTTATTTAACCACTACCCTATGATTGGACACATTGTTTCCAGCTGTTTTGCTCTCTTAAATAGTATTGTAATATCCTCGTTCATACCTTTTTTCTGTATTTGAGAATATCTTTTTGAGGTAGATAACTAGAAGCAGAATTACTGTATGTAGGTTAAAAGTTTTTTTTAACATTTGATATGTATTGCAGGGCCGGCCCGGTGGCGCACTGCTACAGTGCGCCGCTTGGGAAGCATGGCGGCGCTTCCGCCAAGGGTTCGGATCCCACATACAGACCGGCGGCTCACTGGCTGAGCGAGGAGCGGGGGCAACACCGAGGGTTGCAATCCCGTTGCCGGTCCCGGTCCGGTACGGGCGCGACACTAAGGGTTGTGATCTGTTGCCGGTCACGAAAAAAGACAAAAAAAGGAAGGAAAAAAAAAAAAAGTAGATCTGTAAGTAGAAAAGAATATCATGATATGTATTGCCAAGTTGCTTTCTGAAAGGCTTATGCTTGTTTATGCTGTCATCAGAAGTGTATGACGAAGCAGGGCTGGCCCGTGGCTCACTCGGTAGAGTGCGGTGCTGATAACACCAAGGCCATGGGTTTGGATCCCATATAGGGATGGCCGGTTTGCTCACTGGGTGAGCGTGGTGCTGACAACACCAAGTCAAGGGTTACGGCCGGCCCGGTGGCGCACTGGATAAGTGCGCCGCTTGGGAAGCGCGGCGGCGCTCCTGCCCGAGGGTTCGGATCCCACATACAGACCGGTTCCCGCTCACTGGCTGAGCGAGGCGCGGGAGCAACACCGAGGGTTGCGGTCCCGTTGCCTGTCCCCAGTCCGGTACGGGGGCAACACTGAGGGTTGCGATCCGTTGCCGGACACAGAAAAAGACAAAAGACAAAAAAAAAAAAAAGTGTTAAGATCCCCTTACCGGTCATCTTTTTTAAAAAAAAAAAAAAAAGAAGTGTATGACGAAGCAAATTTCAACCTATTATTTTCAACTTTAGGTACTTTATTTTTTTTCTCATTTCTGTTATTTTCACAGATTAAAAATTACTACCTATTTGTTGTAATAATTTCCATTCTTTGATTAGTGTGGACATTTTTTCATACATTTGCTTAATATTTGCATTCCCTGTTGTCCATGTCCTTTTTCATACCTGCTGCTAATATTTTTACTAATCTGCCTTTTAGTTTTTATTCGTTGACATATATTAGTTTTAAATTCTATAGTATGTCTTTCTCATGATTTCTATTGCTTCTAACCTTAGGAAGTTCATCTAATCTGGCAGTTCCCTCTCCCTAGAATAGCTGTCTCCAGAGGTAGGATATGTAAAATAATCTATTTAAGTACAGGAATAACTAGACCTTCTATTTATATTTTAAAAAAAAAATTAAGCTTTACTAGTATATAAAATTCAGGTCTATGTCACATGTTTATGTTATGAGGGGTCTTCAAAAAGTTCATAGAAAGAATCATATTATGCTCTAATTCTATTTTTCCACGAACCCTCATATATAAATTTTTTACTCAAAAATTACATGTATACACATATTAAGAACGTGTGCTTAAACATTTTTTACTGATATAACATATGAACAACAAAGTTTGGACTGCTGTGATCATTTGTTCTTTTAACTAGCCATCAATTAGGCATAAAATAATTTCCAAATTTTATCCTGAACTATCCCAAACTGCTACTTGTAAGCATTTTCACTTTGTTCAAATGTACTTTTAACACCTACAACATCCCATGAAGTTATTATTCTCCCCTCCCCCCAAAAATTATTCTTCCTGTGTTCCCAGAGTCAGTCATACCACCCAATCTCAAAGTAAGTCTTCCTTCCCATTGCCCCACCCCCTGCCCAAACCAGTTAATCAGTTCTTGGAGAGTCTACCCCTTAAATAGTTATCCCCTCCACTCAGTGTTCATAGACTTGAAAGCAGCCCTCATCATCTGGCTGGGACTATTGTTAGCCTGCTAACAGCTCTTCACTTTTCTGGTCTTAACTCCTTCTAACCCATCTGGCTTCATTATACAGCTAGAGTAGTTCTTCTAGAATGCAAAGATGCTTATAGCTTTCTAATTATCTCCTGGATAAAAGGTAAGTTCTTTAAGAAAATGTATGTCATGATCCAGTCCAAAATTCTAGTATTTAAAAGTATGCCCATAGCACAGAAGCATTTAGAACCATTAATCTAGCCCTTGCCTATGTCTACCCTCATATCCTGCCACTCTTCAATGCTACACACCAAACCAATGGTCTAGCCATACCAAATGACTTGCTGTCTCTAAGTATGCCTTTCAAGCTTCCTGACAAATTAGTGCCTTCATACACACTGCTGCTTTGCTTAGAATGCCCTTCTATCTTATTCTACTCATTAAACTTCTATTCAATTTTTGAGACTTATTCTAAGCATCACTCATCTGTGATGTTTTTTCTAATCCCAGCAGCTTAAGGCAGAGTTAGGCACACCTCCTTTGTATTCTCATGCATCTTATGTATTACCACTAATATAGCACCTCCTAATATTTCACTTACCAAATTGTACTATAGTAGCCCACATTCAAAGCTCTGGACTCCCTGAGGTTGGGAACTGTGTGTCTTTTTCATTTGTGTGTCCACAGTACTTAATGCAGTACTTGGCATACAGCAGACTCAGTACCATGTGTACTGAGTGAATGAACTCAGACATTCACACCCCCCTTTTTTCCTTCCAAAGTATTATAGTCAGTACTTTGGGGAAAAGGGGAGAAGCATAAGAGAATAGGGCAAGGTGCAACAACAGCATCAACAATCACAAGCATAGCTAATTAATACTTTTGTCAGGTCCTATTCTAAGCTTATGCATAAATTCACTCATTTATTTCTCACAGCAATCCTCCTACCCTCATTTTACAAATGAGAAAACTGAGGCACAGAGAGATTAAGGCAATTTGCACAAGATCGCACAAGTAGAAGGCCGTAGAGCTGTCTCCAGAACCTTTATGCGAGAACAGGAAGGAATTAAGTGCTTCTGCACCAGAGGGCTATATAAAGTGCCTGCTATTTAGTTCATTCTCCTCCTCATCCAGTGCACAGCCTGCAGTGATGGGGAAACAGGAGCTCAATTACCAGGTTGCCACTAAGTCTAGATAGTACTGAAGACCAGAATATACGTAAATTATATGCTGTCCTATGTTTGATAGGCTTGCAAATAGATCCTTACAGATTTCCACAAGTAAGCCTATTCAAACACTACTACCTCTGAATTGCAAATTGTAACAACCTCTTTCAGGGCCTCATGAGCTGAGTAAGCAGAAAATGTGATCCTTTGAATTTAGCATTTTCCCCTTTTGCCAAAAATATGTATCATTAGTAACAGGGTTATTCTTAAAGTTCCTTTAACAAAACTATGACTTATGTCAAATAACATGATGGTTTGGGGAGTATGGAAAATTGGCTATTCATCCTGAAAAATCTATTAATTAAAACTTGGTATCCCTTTTTCTTAGATATTTATATTAAAATTTGCCTTTCACAGAAGAATTTTATACTTATAAAAATCTTTCTCTTGACAGTTACTTAGCTTGTTTTTCACAGCATGGAAATCTAAGCCTTGGTTATGGTGATTGAGGTGATATAGTATAATATGCCCATAGTTAATGAGAAAGAAAAAACTTGCTTTTTCCTTCTTTATCCTTAAGTTAATTTCATTATATCTTCTAGGAATTTATCTCACTAATATATTGAAAACAGAAGAAGGCAACCCTGAGGTCCTAAAAAGACATGGAAAAGAGCTTATAAACTTTAGCAAAAGGAGGAAAGTAGCAGAAATAACAGGAGAGATCCAGCAGTACCAAAATCAGCCTTATTGTTTACGAGTAGAATCAGATATCAAAGTAAGTTGAATTATTTGAGGATATCTATTTCTGATTAAGTTTATAAATTGCCTGATAAAAGCCAAATTTATTTTGTAAAGGAGAAAAATAAAAATAAAACTTAAATAATTCAAATTTTCTTATGTTAAATGCTTTCTTAATTTTTTATAAATTTCAAACTGAATTTAAAATATTTAATATTAATAATTATTTCTTTGCATTTATTTTAGAGGTTCTTTGAAAACTTGAATCCAATGGGAAATAGCATGGAAAAAGAATTTACAGATTATCTTTTCAACAAATCCCTAGAAATAGAACCACGAAACCCTAAGCCTCTCCCAAGATTTGTAAGCATTCATATATTTATATTTATTTTACATTTACATATTTTTTGCAGCTGTCATGTACATCTGGTAATGTTATTACTTCCACATATGTTATATAGTTTTCTATAAAGACATTCAAGGATGAAGTGCTCATGTGATGGTTAAAAGTAATGAAAAAATGCTTAATAAATGCCCAGGAATATCCTTCTTGGTGCCAAATAATTGAACATTAATAATAATTTGAATAAATCCTGATATGACAGATGATTAAATTGAGCAAATATGTAAAGTTTTTTTTATTGTTTTTGGTTTTACCAAAAATATATATATATATTCAAGATTTAAGTACAGAAAGTGTAATAATTTATGTTTTAAAGTAATGACTTCTTATAACTTTTAACCATGAGCCATTAGCCACAAAAATATCAAGTTTGGCTAAAGATACTTTCTTTGGGAAAATAGTTTTCATTGTTTTTTATTACTTATCAGTATCTAGCCAAATTTATGTACAGTATCATCACCTCACTAATCTGAATATGCTCTCTCTTATTCATAAGAAAGTCAAGAATCAGTAAGTAAACATAAATGGCTTCTAAGTGATTAAGATAAATCTCAAATGTCTATGAACTAAAGTATATGCAGTTGCCTCAAGGAATTTAAAGTATATGAATTTCCTCAAGGAAAATTTCTCAAGCTGTAAAACAGCTTTTAATAAAATGGATTAAAGATAGCAAACTGAAAATAGGCATATAGTGTATTCCAATGAGGCATACTGATATCACAGAGAAATGATCACTCTGCAAGGAAAATGCCGTAAAACTAACATACACACAGACGAAAACTCAGGCAATTTAATCCATTTGTAAATAGCTCAAATGGTTCTAATGGTATCACTGTATTTCAGCATTGTGAAATATTGTAATTCATAATGATGACCCTGGCTTTTTCCAGCAATGTTAGGTTTTTTTGTTTAAGAAGCCAGGAAAGACTGGCTGGTTAGCTCAGTTGGTTATAGCGTGGTGTTGATAACACCAGGGTCCAGGGTTTGATCCCTGTACTGGCCAGCAAAAAAAAAAAAAAAAAAAAAAGCCAGGGAAATAAACAATCTAACTTAGAAAGATTTCCACCCAATAATATTAAAATAACAAATACTTCGATATTTATAGGACTAAAACTCAGTTATTTGAAGAAATTCATTCCTTAACAATTTAGATAGCCAAGGCTTTAATGAAATGGAGTATTAATGCTTTGACTTGGACACTTTGATTTGAAGCATTATATAACTTCCTTATTAGTGATTTATGGTTTTCCTAGATATTAGTTGAATTTTACTAGGCACATATAGAAAAACCTTCCTTTTTACTACAGTGTTGTTAAGTATTGTTTCTTTTGATATGTCTACAGCCAAAAAAATATAGCTATCCACTGAAATCTCCTGGTGTTCGTCCATCAAACCCAAGACCAGGTACCATGAGACATCCCACACCTCTGCAGCAGGAGCCAAGGAAAATTAGTTATAGTAGGATCCCTGAAAGTGAAACAGAAAGTACAGCATCTGCACCAAATTCTCCAAGAACACCGTTAACACCTCCTCCTGCTTCTGGTGCTTCCAGTACCACAGATGTTTGCAGCGTATTTGATTCTGATCATTCGAGTCCTTTTCACTCAAGTAGGTGCTACAATTTAAGTGCTTTAAAGTAATTGTTAGTATTGTATATGCTAGCAGTAGAAAATAATCTGTGTGATTTCTCTGTATGTGTGAAATTTTTGACAAGTCAGATACCATTTCAAAAGATATAAAAATATAAAACAAATTCTAAAACTCCAGCAACTTATAATTTTTAAAAAATCTGCTGGAACAGTCCTCTTTAAATTCATTATACTTTACTGAAAGGCCTGGTGGTAAAATTGGTAATATAAACTTTATATGAGCATTTCAAATGCATCCCTCATATCCAGAGTAAACAAAAAATCACTCTTAAAATCTGCAAGGAATGTCAGTCCCATGTTTTAAAATGCTGCCTCCAAAGTTATAATATTTGACTACTACTCAGGGTATACCATCCCCTCCCCACCAAACTCCGTGTAGCTTCTATTTTTGCAATGTATCAAACTCAGACTCCTGGGCCGGCCCCATGGCTCACTCGGGAGAGTGCAGTGCTGACAAACTCAGACTCCTACTTAACCTTTTCTTGGTCTACCCTATGGTACTCTGATGGTATATAGTGCCTACTAGCACACTGCCTATGCTTTTTGGCACAGCCATACAAATCTCACTACATGCTATTATTGCTCATCCTTCTCTTATTTCTAGACTGGTACTGTCCAATAGCAATATAATGTGAGCCACATGTATAACTTTAAATGTCTAGAAGCCATATTAGAAAAAGCAAAAAAAAATTAGTGAAATAAATTTTAATAATACATTTTAGCTAACCCAATATAACAAAAATATTGTCATTTCATCATGAAATCAACAAAAATTTATTAGGTACTTTGTAGTACTTTATTTTGAGATACTTTACATTTCTTTTTTGTTCTAAATCTTTAAAATCTAGTGTGCATTTTACACTTATAGCATATCTTAATTAAGACGAGCTACTTTCAGATACTCAATAATCACATGTGGCTAGTGGCTACCAAACTGTACAGCTCAACTCTAGCCCTTTGATGAGGCTACCTTTAAAAAAATCTAGATTGCTGTTAATATTCTAATCAATTTCATGTGCAGCTTTAAAGCTCTTCTGAGTACACACAACCTTTTTTGAAACTTGAGTACAGTCACCTTTAACCCTCTTATGACCACTTCCACATGCTCTTCCCATTGGCTCAATGTGCTAATCCAATTCCAAGTATATATTATTTCATATAGTAGTACCCAGTACTAGAGCATGACATTATTATGGGGGAGGAGTTTGAGAAGCACTGAACTAGGAGTCAAGTATCCTGGTTTGTCATCCCAGTCTGTTAGTGAGTTTTCTGATTTTAGATACAATACTTGTTCTAATCCTTTTGGGGATCAAACTAGATTTTTAAGGTTCTTCTAACTCAGAGAATCTAACTAAAAACCTACTTAAAATAATTCTTCAGAGGTATATTGAGATTTGGTCCAAAATCCTATTTGTTTATTCCTGTAGAGTACATACGTTTGTAGTTATCCAGTAGTGTCTTCTATTTATACTACCTAACATGTATTTGTCTTGAGAATACTACGACTTGACTTTATTTGGCAACTGAGGATCATGGAGTCATTTTATAAACACAGTCAGGTACTTTTGGTAAATTCAAATAGACATCAGGTAAAGAATTCCATTTATTCTCCCTAACTCACCAACCCCTAAATTAAGTAATAAAGTGAAACTGGCATTTTTTCAGTATACCTGACTTAAACCATTATTTATTCTGACCCATTTAACTGTTTGCAGGAGGTTTTTTTCCTAGACCAGACAGCTATTCCTAAATAAGTGATTTATTGAAACCACATGAAAGCCATCAATTCTTCTTCTCTTAGTTTAACTAGCTAAAAATGGAACTAGTAGAGAACACTAAGTTCTTTGCTAGTGCTAAATCTTTAAATGATTAGTCAAACTGGGAAAAAGGAATCATTCTGGATTGCAGTGCTCAGAATTAGTGCTTTGTTATATGTGGCAGTGGAACGGTATTAACTTAAATAGCTGGACAAGTGGAGAAAACATTGTTCTAGGAGTTAAGCTTTGTAATCTCAGACTTGAGGATTTTCTCAGTTTCTCTTTCTTTATGATAAAGAAAACTCCTATTACTATTCCCTTTGCTTTAGTGAAAATTGAAAATAACTGATTTTGAAGTCAGATAAAGCAACATAATATGAAACTATCCATGTGCTCAGTTAATCCCTTACTTAAAACTTATCAATGGCCTATGTGTATTAAAGGTCCTCACCTGCTTTTATCCCCACTTCTGCTTAACAGATCTGCTAGTGCTGTGGGGGAGCACCAGAGCCTCCAACTTGCTACCCACTGTGTTGTCACCAGAACAAATACCTACTTCCTTGTTTTCCTCAGGGTGTGACAGGAAAGAGCTGCCTTGACTGCAGTCTTATGTCATCTGAACATACTCCACTCGATACTAAGCAGCAGAAAGTTCCATTGCTTAAGTTTTTCTTTTTTTTTTGTCTTTTTTCGTGACCGGCAACGGATCGCAACCCTCAGTGTCGCGCCCGTACCGGACCGGGACCGGCAACGGGATCGCAACCCTCGGTGTTGCGCCCGCACCTCGCTCAGCCAGTGAGCGGCCGGTCTGTATGTGGGATCCGAAACCTCGGCGGGAGCGCCGCCGCACTCCCAAGCGGCGCACTGTAGCAGTGCGCCACCGGGCCGGCCCTATGTATTGCTTATCTTACTCCTTGCTCTTTACACATCTTCTCTGGGAAAGCTTGCAGTCTTACTGAGAGATGAAAACAGTCCTAATACAAAGAGAATCATAGCTAAATGCCAAGTGAGTTGTGAAGAAGTTTACTGAAAGATAACCTCAAAATGGGCATAAATGGTCATGGAAAGCTTTGTGGTACAGACAGACAGGGAAGGGACATGGTGACCTGTTTAGTGCTGCCATTGATCCGTTACATTCAAAGCGCTGCTCCACACCTTGCCCTGGCCAAGTCCATCTTTGAGGTGATAATGACAGTGGCTGGGAAAAGAAAAGACCACCCAGCTCACTGCTTTTCTCTGCTGCTATATCAAAGAGGGGGGAAATGGTGACATACTCTTGTTATCTGGTCATAAAAGGGAACCAAAGGTCTGACCTGGTCTCTGTGCTGCAGATGAGCTTTATCTCCATCCATGAGTAAGGGAGCTATGACAAGAAAAAGATGAAGCATTTCAAGCTGGAATGCAAAGCTTTTCTTCATGAAAGATTGTTGTAGGTGATGAGTTTCTAATCTCAAATACATTTGCATTTACCAGGCTTTTGGAAATTTAAGAAGTTATCCATCATTTATATTATTTTTTTCCTGTAGGAAAATGATAGTTTCTATTTCAAAAACTATTCTTTTATAAGTTGGGGAATGTCTTCAACCCTGACTGTATTGCATAGTATAATCCCCTGGAGAGCTTTAAAAAAAATACTTAGGCCCCCCTCACACTAGACTGTCATTGGCCCCCTGGGCATTAGTATTTTTTTAAAACCCCCCAGAGGATTTTATTTTATTTTTTATTTTTTTATTTTTTTGTCTTTTATCTTTTTCTGTGTCCGGCAACGGATCACAACCCTCAGTGTTGCCCCTGCACCGGACCGGGGACCAGCAACGGGATCGCAACCCTCGGTGCCACTCCCGCGCCCTGCTCAGCCAGTGAGCGGGAACCGTATTTTTTTGTCTTTTATCTTTTTCTGTGTCCGGCAACGGATCACAACCCTCAGTGTTGCCCCTGCACCGGACCGGGGACCAGCAACGGGATCGCAACCCTCGGTGCCACTCCCGCGCCCTGCTCAGCCAGTGAGCGGGAACCGGTCCGTACGTGGGATCCGAACCCTCGGGCGGGAGCGCCGCCACGCTTCCCAAGCGGCGCACTATCCACTGCGCCACCGGGCCGGCCCTAAAACCCCCCAGAGGATTTTAAAGTGCAACCAAGATTGAGAACTATTGGTCTGTCATCTGAGATTTGTACTTAACAGATTAATACTACTGTTTTAATGGGATTTGAGTCCTAAGTCATATTATCAACGAATTTGTCCAGTATCTAACTGATAAGAATTTCTAGCACATATTTCTTAATTACAGCATGTAAAATTCTAATAAGAATTTTTATAGCATTTTTCCAGGCAATGAGACTAAGCAACTAGTTTAAACTAAGAAATCAGAGAAGTGCTCCAGACTTATCAAATGCATGAACCCAAGTCTGTGCTGTTTATAAATATGATCAAAGCCAAGTTTACATCTGTGTACAGTGTGTATACATATGTATAAGTAATTTTTCAAAAAGGCTGCAGTTAGAAGCAGTCATGAACTTTGTGTTTTGATTTTATTCCCATACTGTACTTCATGTAATATCATGTTCTTGAGCTTATTGTCAGGAATGTATTTATTTCCTTTTCAAGGAAAGTGGGGAATATATAAACACTGTAGTTCCCTTAAACCCTATGGTTATAGGTGCCTAATAGTGAAGAAAATCATCGACAAAGCAACAGCTTCATGTAATTTCAGAGTATATAAATGAATTTTAATCTCTGAGAGATAACTTTTTAGAATTAATTACACTTAGCAGTCATGGGTTCCAAATAAATATCAGTACCTATGGAAAGGAGATAATGGGACAGATTATTTGAAATTGAGGATGCTTGGGAAGTAAGACCACTGTATTTATACAGGCTGAGTATCCCTTATCTGCTTGGGACCAGAAGTGTTTGGGGTTTTTTTGGATTTTGGAGTATGTGCATATTTTTGGAATATGTGCCTCCCCATCTTGGGGGTGGGAACTGAATCTAAACACAAAATTCATTTGTTTCATATACACCTTATACACAAAGCCTGAAAGTAATGTTATACAATACTTTTTAATAATTTTGTGCATGAAACACATGACTCATCATATGAGGTCCAGTGTGGAATTTTCTACTTGTGGCATCGTGTCAGCACTTAAAAATTTCTGGATTTTGGAGTATTTCAGATTTCAGATTAGGGATATTCCCCATGTATAAGCAATCGAGTTATCAGGAGTCATGTCAACTGGACCTGGAATATAAAATTATCCTCCTCCTGACCAAATAAGCTTGAATAAACAATGTTCCGAATTATTTCAGTGATTGTGTGTTGTGCAAAAAAAGTGAGAGAGAAATCTGAATTTTTAAAAATCACCTCAGTCTAGTATTACAGGAATTGTTTTAGTCTCTTGGATATTACCTGTTCATATGTTGGTAATATGAGGCAGTGTAACATAAACAACTATATTGATTTAGAACAGTGTAGCTCATCCAGCCTTTTGTCTCAATTTTCCTACTGAACGCTCTTGGGGCTTTGGCTTTTGACTTTCAATTTTTTTCTTAAAAGAATTAATATTGTTGAAATTAGTCTAAATTTATCAATGAGTTTCCTATATAAAATGTTTCTAAGCACCAAATGTTTATTGACTTTTAAAAAGTGTTTATGAATATGGAAAGAAAAAAATGTCCACAGCTCTCTAGTTATTTTGTGATGAGATTATATGTCCCAAGAACATTTTTCAAAGTATATAATACTAGTAAGAAACACCCTTTTAAATTTTTTCAATTTATATAAAATAAATTTATCACTTGTTTCACAAGTTTGAGTTTTCAAAATAATCCTTAGTGATAACATATTTCTATATGTCTGGCCAAATTCTTTGCTTGAATTGAGTATTTTAAAAAGTCTTCCAATAATATAGGATATTTTCATTTTCTCATGAATGCTTTTCATTTAATTATTATGATCTCAAGTAGTAAATCTAAAAGGAATCTTCACAGTTCCCAACGTGATATTACCTCAATTTAATTATTTTTTCTTCTCAAAAGTAGTAATAAGCTTTTACTAAAAACTATTACAGCATTCTTTAAAACTAGAATGACAAGAATAACATTTTTATCATAAATTTTTACAGATGAATGGAGTTTATCAATGAAAGAAAAAAAATATACTTTTTCTTGTTTCCTTTCACAGGCAGCGATACCGTCTTTATCCAAGTTACACTGCCCCATGGCCCAAGTTAGTATATTTAGTTTAAGACTCATAATTCTTGCTTTGGCTTTAAAAATTAAACCAAGTGTAACCTTCCCTGCTAAAACTCTTCCGGGGTCTGGCAGCATTGGTACCTTGCTTGCAACAGCTTAGAAGTGAGGCCTTCACTTGTGCTATCTTTTGATCATAAATGATTTGCTTAAATTTATATACTTTTCATGCATTTTATAAAACACTTTTATTTTAAAACAACATATTAAATGAGTTGCTTCCACATTTAACCATTTCTCTTTTCCAACTGTAGAGTTCTAAATATATTTTAATGTTCAATTTTGAAAAAAGAAGCAAGGGCATGCATGCGCATATGGGAATGCTGGCAGCTACATGCAATGTTTAAATCACAAAATTTTCCTAGCCTGGTGATGGCATAGATTGTAGGCAAATAACTGCTTAAAGATAACAGGTTAATTTTTTTTTTTTTTTTGTCCTTTTTGAGACCGGCCGCACCGCGCTCAGCCAGTGAGCGCTGTGAGCGCACCAGTCATCCCTATATAGGATCCGAACCCGTGGCGGGAGCGCTGCTGCGCTCCCAGCGCTGCACTCTCCTGGGTGCGCCATGGGCTTGGCCCTCAGATTAATATTTTTGCTGTCCATTCATACAAGTGACTTCAAAATGTGTACAATGGAAAATATTTAGTTATAAGCTAAATTAACTGAATATAGTCTCTTAAGAAAAAAGGTAGGTGATCTAATGTTGGTCATTTGAATAATATCAGTATACACAGAACTCTTTTAAAGTTCTGTATTGTTAAAATATTTAACAAAATAAAAAAAGCTTAATGCCTAAAGGAAAAAAAGAACCCGCCAAGTATAATTTTGAATGACTGTTTCTTTACATATTTTTTCATATCTTTCTCTAGTGTTTATGAACTAGCTAACAACTTCCATAAGGAGGTCTTCTTTCAAAATGTAATTATTTTATATGACTACATTATGCCTTTGACACCATAAATGTCTGTAAGAAGGTTTCCTATTAGAAGCTTTACTTACCTTACCTTTTTTGTGCCAGTTCATCAACTTATTCTTAAATCAGGTTCACTAGATTTTAGTGTAATTTCTGTTTTCATTATGAGAGCTGCCTCAGTTGTCTTGAATAGCTCTGTCACAATTAAAGTTTTTGTATTAGAGTATGATGAACCTGATTTTGCGTACATGCTATGGAGAGCCTATCCCTAAGCAAAAGGAGGAGAAAGCCCTCCCCCACATAATGGATTCTTTCCCTTACATCTTTTGAGAGAATTGCTGGGGAGAAACATTGGGGAGAGTGGTTAAGGTCAGAAACTATTCCCAGGGACTGCCCAGAAAGGGCGGGGAAATTCTATAATAAAGTCAGAGAAAAAAATGGGCCCATCACAACACTTAACAAAAATTGCTATTCTCTCAAAAAGCTGAGAATCACACCCAATCAAGAATTCCAATAATGAATTAACAGGGGGAATGTTATTTTGTTCAACAAGCAAAATAACATAATAGGCATTTTTTTCCTAAAAATTCTGATAAGAAATTTCTGCATGCTTTTATAGCAGTTTGCTTTAATAAATGAAATACTGTTGGGTACTGGTTTATTGTACTGCTTTTGATACTTCTACACATTTCTTTTAATAAATATGTTTCCAGCTAAGCCTTTTCAAGACTAATAAATGAAATACAATTTCTGTGAAATTTAAAAAAAATTTAACATCCTACAGGATCTGCTTCAGTATCATCTATAAATTTAACAAAGGGCACTGATGAAGTGCCCATTCCCCCTCCTGTTCCTCCACGAAGACGACCAGAATCTGCCCCAGCGGAATCTTCACCATCTAAGGTAAACTAGAAAATCTTGTTATCTGGATATTGGAATCATTACAGTTACATTATAATCAATTACTTATGTCTAGTTTAGTTCTCACTGGGATAGGTTAACATTTCAGAGTGTTTGGGCTTAATAGTTTAAATAAGGATTAAATATGGATTTAACATGCAGCAAGGTCTATTTACTTCTGTAAGTAATTTTTTGGTATGTTTTCAAAACCCTTGTAAATCTAAAGCTATGGGTATTGTCAAAGGAAAAAAATAAGTTTTAATCCATAAAGTAAGAGTAAATTTAGTCTCAAGCCATTCTTTAAAAACAAAGAGAAGGAAAGAGGTCTGAAGCTTTGTATGAAGGCTCATTATAAGTGAAACTGTATCTTGGCATATGCTAAAAGGTACTTTTCTGAGCCCTCCAATAGTGAATCTGACATAATTTTTAAATGGGCTTTTTGTGAGAATTCTGAGTTGGAAGAGACTCTAAGCGTTCATAATAGCTATTTTTTCTACCTGTTTAAATTAATTTCTTCTTTCCTCCCTCCCCCCTCCTCTCCTTCCCCCGGGAGCGTTCCAGCGGGGACGCGGTCAGCCTGGGAAAGGGAACCAGGATGGGTGGATGGAGGCGAAGAGGGCACGTGCCGTGCGGTGCGGTGTGTGTGGCGTGTAGGGCTCGCGTTGGGTGCCCTGGCGGTGGGGTGAGCCCACGGGGGCTTGTGGTGAAAAGGGCACGAGGGAGAAGGAAAGGGTGCTCGAAGGCCGGCCGTCCGGTGTCCCGGGCCGTCACGGGACTGCCCCTGTGTATGGGGCGGTGGGATCCCGTGCGTGTTTTCGCGGTGGGCTCGGCTGTTGTGCCTGAGGGCTCTTTTCTGTCTCTCTGGCTCTCTCCCCAGGCTTTCCTGTGCCTCTCCCACCCCCACGGCTCCCTGCCGGGGCCGCTCGATCCCCCCTCCTCTCCTTCCCCCTCCCTCCTCTCCTTCCCCTCCCCTCTCCCTCCTTGCACCTTCCCCCCTTCCCTCTTCCCCCCTTCCCTTTTTGCTAGCTGTTAATTCCTTGGTTCTTAAGCTATCCAGAGAGACAGTCTTTGTAGAACTTCATGAAATGTTGAATAGTAAGTTATAAATTGTAAAAATTTAAATTATAAAATTGTAATAGGTAATTTATGCTAAATCAGAAATGATCTTATATAGATTGATAGGCAAGCAGTAGTAAACAACAAAATTTTGAGAAAAAAAATTAAGGTAAAAAATTAACATTGGCAAAAATAATTTTTTCTATGAATTGGCAGAACTCCCTGTTCCATACCTAGCATTCTGCCAATAGCATGTTTGAAAACTCCAATTTAATTCTTAATATATTCATGATACTACATATATTAAATAATAAATGTGTTTTATTCTGTTTTTCATTTGTTAGATTATGTCTAAGCATTTGGACAGCCCCCCAGCCATTCCTCCTAGGCAACCCACATCAAAAGCCTATTCACCACGATATTCAGTATCAGAACGGACCTCTATATCAGACCCTCCTGAAAGCCCTCCCTTATTACCACCACGGGAGCCTGTGAGGACACCTGATGTTTTCTCAAGTTCACCACTACACCTCCAACCTCCCCCTTTGGGCAAAAAAAGTGACCATGGCAATGCCTTCTTCCCAAACAGCCCATCCCCCTTTACACCACCTCCTCCTCAGACACCTTCTCCTCATGGCACGAGAAGGCATCTGCCATCACCACCACTGACACAGGAAGTGGACCTTCATTCCATTGCTGGGCCGCCTGTTCCTCCACGACAAAGCACTTCTCAACATATCCCTAAACTCCCTCCAAAAACTTACAAAAGGGAGCACACACACCCATCCATGCACAGAGATGGACCACCACTGTTGGAGAATGCCCATTCTTCCTGAGTTCCTCTTTACTGGGATGTATATTTTCCTAGCCCCAAATCCATTGCTGGCAATGGATGCACTGAACGTGCCAGCACTGAGGAGTTAAAATGAGAACTCCAAACACTAACTACTCTACTTCAAGATGCAGTATAAGACAATGAATTTTAACCTAGCTGTAATTATAAAATGGAAATTTTTTCCAGTTTAGAATATGGAAAGACTGATCTAGAGGAATTGGACAACTGATTGCACCTGAAAATCAAGTAAAGGAACTTTTTCTGGCCAATAGGCAGGAGTTCTCTTTTTTTGAAGTGATCTTTATCATTAAAGGGATGGAAAACATAGTCTAGTGTCCAGCAGGCCCAAATGACAACAGTTTTTGTAATTCAAAATATTATGCACTTTTAAAAAAAATCTTAAACAGGGATCTTAATATCCTCCTTTGTTTTCCTTTGCTTTACTCTTCTACTTTAGAATATTTTCTTAAAAATCATTCAATGGACTGTGAGGAAAGGCTGTGGTACCTGACCTTGTTGAAATCAAGGCCCAGCACTGTACTACAGTCCTGTTTACAGATTATTACAGTGAATTGAATGGGTACCGAGGCTTCACCAAAGAGGTACTTTTTTGTTGTTTTTAAGAATAATTATACCAATTTTAAGAGCATTTCCTCACGTGCCCCCCACCCCGCAACACACACACACACACACATACACGTACACACTCACACACGTACACACAAAATGTGGTGGTGTTGCCTTCAAACAAGGAAAGTTTTGTGTCATTAATATGACAGAAGAACTTTTTTAAACATGTAACTGTCAAGTATACTATTTACATTTAGGAGACTGTTAATCTATGCTAGATTGTCATTTTTCCCCCTTCTCCCACCCAGGTTTACTGGTAATCCATGTCATGGCTCATAGCTGTCCCTCTAACTGTACTATGGAAATGCAGGCACCCAATGTGAAAAGCAGCACTTGCTGGGCATCACTGACACCAGTCATGTTTTACTAATAGCTGAGTAATCAGCATATCTAGAATTACCTTGCATTGCCTAAATCATGTGTATATAGTGAATGTTATATAATATACCTGGCAGGTCTGTTTTAATTTAATTGAATAAAGATACAAATACTTTGTTTGGCTGGCATATATTAAATTATTATATGGACAAAATGGTCGATTCTTATTTCTTTCAGTTGAAAAACACACACTAAGCATAAAAGCACGTATTGTGGTACACCTTGGTTTCTAGTTCTGGATATATATACTAATCTTAAAGAATGATCTAAAGTTGCAGTTTGGCATGTAGGAAAATATTTGGTAGAATAGGATGGGTATCTTTTAAGCAAAACTTTGTAAGTTTTTAAATTTCCTAAGCAACATGGATACAGTTTGTTAAGGTTTATATTGAACATTCTACCTTGCTTGAGGTCTTCTGCTCTCTCAGAAATACTCATAATAGAACATCTACCTGCATCATTAATAACATAATATGGATTATTCATTAAGCCTATGTACTGTTCTTCTGAGTCTAACAAATACTGTGACTGAAATGCATGCAATGTGTTGAAGAGAAAAAGTTTTATTAATCTCCACTCCGAAATGTGCAGTATTCCATCCTTAGAGTCATCAATTCATCAGTATCTGCATGTGTCCTCTGAATAATAAAGCAACATTTCAGCAATTCTGTTAACCATGCCATTAGAGACATTGTGAAAAAGTGGTTTCCATCATGGTGGAAACCTAGTACTTTAATAATTTCCTGTGATATTTATTAGAGCATTAAATGTACATTATGATAGTACAGTATATAGTCCTTTAAGACCAGAAAGTATGTTTACTGCATTATCATTAAGCAATCCATCCTATCATATCTTTTCTTATTTATTTGTTAGAGTTTAATCTATTTTGTTTAGTATTTGTACCATTCCTATTATGGTAGGCATTTTTTTTCTTTGTAAAATGTCTTCCCTTTTAAAAGTGTCCTAAAAATTAATTTCAAATCCCCTGTTGGATGCAAAGTGTCCATAAGACCATTCATTCAACAAATATTACTAGTGCTGCTACAGTTGATACACATTCCAGAACCTCTCATGACTTTTTATTGGGCCAGCTGTCCTTAGGATTTCCCTTTTTATGGCTTATTGATCACTTCACTTTTTAATTACCCCACTCCTACTCCAAATGAGAACCTAAGAAAAGTCACACTGGAGCCCATTCAATATCTCCCTGGCTAGTGAGTTAGCCTTCAATAAGGTGATGACCACTTTTCAACCTGCCTGATTAGATAAACAGGAAAAACTCAGATTTGGAGTTCTAATCATTTCTCCCAAAGGGAACCATTCTTCTACCCCATGGTTCTAGGAGACCAATTCACTGTGCAACAGTTTTATATGCACTGTGGATAGAAGATATTTTTATTCTGAAGTGTGACATTTGGGTAAAAATATTTTCTGCAGTGGTAACTGATGAGAAAAATTCCACTTGGATGCCCTTAGATGGAGGTGAGAAAATTGTATCCTTGTCTTTTTCTCATGTGAAACATGAACTAGCTGACAAATATATCCTTTGCAGTAAGGAAAATATTCTTAATCAGGGACAAGAAGTGGCAGAGAAGATAAATGCATCATTACAAAATTCTACTTTTGAATCCAGGACATTACAAGGCAGTCAATGCAGCATGACTTTTTGTTAACCACACTCCAAAATGTGCAACATTTCTTTTAGAAATGGAAATGTTCTTAAATGTTTCATTATTTTTGGATCACAAAATGAATATTTCAAGGCCGAATTTTACTTAGTGGGCTGATAACCAATATAATGGGAAAGGGAAGCTTTTCACATCTAAGCACTTTAAAACAGGAACAGATGAAAAGTATATCTAAGTTGACTGAAAGACTGAGGTTATTTACTCTTCCAGTCCTCCAAACGTATTATAAGACTACAAATTATCAGGAAATATATACACATTCAAAATTTGCTTAATTAAAGGTTGTTGGGCATTGAATTATGTGTTTAGTAGGTCACTATTTTCTAACAACTCGAGGGTGTTCTAATGGATCTGAATTTAGCAAAGAGCATGCCACACTAATACTATAATCAAGTAGAGAACAATTTCAGTTGGAGACCATATTGTTCTAAATTCTTCCTTAATGGTTTTTTTTCATAAATCAAAAATTACCTTACACTTACCAAAAACTAGTTGGTATTTATGATCATGATCTTGTCTTAATTCTCCAGTTTACCTTACATTAATCTTGTATTTCATTGTCTTTTCATATGATGGCTTAAATTCAGATTTTTAAGTGGCTCAGCAAAACAAATGGGTAAGGGTATCCCAATTTATTAGTGTTTTACGTATGGATGAAAATCTTTCTTCCTCCAGATTTAGAAACAATTTAAACATTTATTTCTTGGTATTCTGCTGCTGTGGATAGGTTTACTTATTCTTTTAACCTCTATTGTGTAACCATTGTACAAGTGTAGGTCCTATTGTATTGCACATTAATCTTTACCAGTAAATAAACATCACAGGGTTAATATCGGTATGGCTGAAAGAGAGAATTATGCAGTAAAATTATTTATAAGGGAAAGTAATGATTTTATTCAATTTTTTGAAACATCTCATTTAAACTTTTAAAATCATTTCATAATCCCTATACATGAGCCAATGAAATATTTTGAGCTCTAGTTAAGAAAAGCATGAAGTCTATGATAAATCTAAACAACAAAAGCACTTGTAACTTTTTTTGTAAATTTCATGCCTTATTTTCCATTTTTGACACCGTAAAGTGCATTTTCTGTCAACTGTGAGCAAATTTCCCTTTTGCCTTTAATGAAAATAGTGCATTAGGTAGCCAACTGCTGCAAAATTATAAAGCAAGTATTAGCTAAAGGTGGGTCATATTGGACTACCACTCAAAGAAACAAGATGCATAACAATTTACATGAGGTGTAGCTTAGGAAGGGTGCACCTGTGCCAGATGCATGCCACTTTCAGTAGCTGCCAAATGTGCCTTTAATTAAGAACATCTCTAATTTTTTTCTTCAGATCAAGTCAGCATTTGGGGGCGGGATTAGGGCAGGGGACTTTGGGGTGCAAATATCTGGTGAAATTACCAGAGAATTTGTTTGTCAAAGTGACATGTATAATTTTAGATGAGACATGTTTGTGTATATATGTGTAATTGCCTTTGTTTTTTAGTAGCACGGTTATTTGCTAAAATAATTGTCAAAAATTGCTCTGTTAGTCTTACTTTGATGTAAGAACAAAGTGTGGTCTATTCATCTGATATGGCCTTTGTACCTAACCATGTTCATAGGTAGTCTTTGTACTCTGTATGCAGCAGTATTTGGTTTGCATTTAAAATGAAAATTATGGCTGATATTTTTCTGGCATTACTAAGATAAACTGAAAAATAAAGAAAAATGCCTTACATAGCCCACAAGTGTATTATTTTTGCACGTATTCATTTTAGAGGGCAGTATTTTTAAAGTCATTAGTGATTCTCATTTAGCTGATACTTCCCATATAGAAATATTTTGCATTTTATCATGGTCTTACACTTCGGAGGCACTTTTTCCTGTATCAAGTTATAAAAAAGATAAAAGAAGTTTCATATTTCTTTCTATGTCAAATCCTATGATTGTAGTGAGTGGGAGGCTCTTAGGGTGAAAACTAGTAATTTAAAGTGACCTTGGGTGCCACCTGGATGAAGATTTATGGAATATGAGAGCTGAAGCATTCATATTCCATAAAACAAGGTTTAAACTATCACAGTTCCCTAACAGGCAGCTTTTGCTGAGACCTGCTGGAATGAGGCAGCTTGACCTTTAGCAATTTTTTCTGGGCTTGGCATGAAATGATAAGAGTTTGAGGTTGTGACTGAATTATGCAAATGTGAGGTCATTCAAGGGGAACTATATAGAATGTAAAAACTGCTGAATCCTTAGAGATCCAATCCCCTTATTTAAAAATTGAGGCAAGGGAGGCGTGGAGAAGTAAGACTGACTTAGCCAACATCATGTGGCAGTTAGTGATTGAGACCATTGATTCAACTTTGATCCCTGGTATTTGGAAAACTGCTTTCAGGAATACCTGAAAGTCATTAGTGATTTTTTTCCTTTGGTTTAAGGACACAAAATCATTGGTTTATACAAATTAATTTGGTAGACCCTTGGATTTGTGAAATCCAAATGTATAATTGAGTATATTCTAGGTAATCAATTTAATAGCTATAGGAAAATGATGTTAACATTGATATTAGTCAAACAACTTTGAATTTACTTTTGAAACGTCACTTCTTTTGAGCTTTAACCAAGTGATTTGCTTTTTTACTTATTTTAATCATGTCAGGTCATCAAAGACTCGGGGCTTAAGTCTCTATGGTACAGCCAACAGCTGATCCTGCCTTTTTGCAGATAGTTGCACATGGCTTCCAGAAAGAAGTAGGACTATGATATAGAATACAATTCTAAAAAAAGAGTTTATGGCCGTTCTAACATTTTAGGACTTTTGAGTCTTATTAGAGGTAAGAAAAACTACTGCCCATTTAGAAGTTTTTCTATTTTAATAACTCATCAAGGAAAGGAAGACTCAATGTGACAAAGTAAAATAAGTAGGTGCTTTGTAATCATATCTTTGTTCACATTCTGGTTCCATTACTTATTACGTGAGTGACTTTAGAGAGTTTGTTTCTTGTTAGTACAAGGAGGTTAACACATCTACTATTTGGGACTATTATGAGGTTTAAAGGTAATAGGTGTAAAACACAATGCCTTTCACAGAATAGGTACTTAATAAATGGTAACTGAAGTTATGAGGGATACGTTTTCAAAGTTTACCTGCTTTTAGGTATCTTTTAAAAGTACACTGAAAGTCCCCATAATTTTATGGTTGTTTATCCTGAAGTCCCCATAATTTTATTCTTTACTAGATGGCTTCCTTTGCTGTTTATCATCATTTAAATTAGTTTTGAGTGACCTTAGGTTATAAGCATTTGATAAAGGCCCACCTGACTATTCAACATTTAACAAATATTTACTGTTCCAAGTGCAGTTCTGATGTTAGGAGTATAGCAATGAGCAAAACAGATAAGAGTCCGTATCATCATAGGGTTTATAATCTAGTGAGGAAATGGAGACAATAAGTAATAAGCATAATAAATAGGTATACGATAGAATGCTATAACTGCTATGAACAAAAAATCCTAAGGTCACTGGGAATGTGGGAGACAGAGGAGGTGAAATTTAAATGGGATGGTCAGTCTGCCTCAGAGGTGACTTACGAATAAAGACTTGAAGGAGGTTAAGAAATGAGACATGCAGGTATCTGAGAGAAGAATATGCCAAATCAGGGAATAGCCAGTTCCCTGCCCTGAGGCAGGAGTGTACTTGGTATATCTGAGGAACAGGGAAGCTGCTTGTGTCTGGAGAGGAATGAATGTGGGTAGAACAGAAGGACTTGCCATCAGAGATTTAATGAGGTCCAGATAACTAAAGGCTTTAAAAGCTCTTCTAATGACTTTGACTTCTGTTTGAGAGAAATAGAGCCCTTAGAGGATTTGAGCAGAAGAATGACATGATCTGATTTACATTTTAACATATTGAGACTGATTAGAGGTTAAGAGTGAGAACAAGGAGGCTAGCCCAGTAGAAAGTGGCTTGGACCAGGGTGATAGCAGTGGTGGTGGTAAGAGGTCACAGTCTGGATATGTTTTGAAGACAGCCAATTTGCTAATAGACTGGATGTGGGGTAAGAGAAACAATTGTTGAGGATGACATCAAGGTTTTTGACCAGAGCAACTGGAAGGAAAAAGTTACCATTCACTGAGGTGGGGAAGATATGGTTGAAGCAGGCTTGGACACATTAAGTACAATAAATATATTAGAGATCTTAAGAGATGTTATGGCAGCAGCTGGAGTTTTAGCCTGGAGTATGGGAGAGAAGTCTAGGCTAAAGATATAAAATTGGGAGTCACTTTCAAAAAGATCATATCTTAAATCCAGCAGACTGGATAAAACCACAAAGGAAGAGAGTATAGACTCGAAAAAGAAGAGATCTGAGCAAAGGAGAGCCCTGGGGCACTCTGACATTAAAAGTGGGGAGAGAAGGGGAACCAGCAAATAGACCAAGAAGGAACCGCCAGTGAAGAAAGATGAAAACCAGGAGTATGCGTGTCCTTGAAGCCTAGTAAAGAAATTATTTCAGAAGGAGGAAGTGATTAGCATGTAAAATGCTGCTTGACAGGGAGAGGAAGATGACTGAACTATTCATATAGCAACATGGAAGTCACTGGTGATCTCGTCACATGCAGTTCAGGAGAGTGGCATGTGCAAAAGCTTGGGCCTAGTAAGTTAATAAAGAATGGCAGGAGAGGAACTGGAGCAGTTTTCAGATTTTACCATGAAGGAAATCAGAGAACTGGGGCATAGCTAGAATGATCAAGAGATTTCTTTTGCTTTAAAGATGGGAGAAATAAGGGCATGTTTATATGCTGGAAGCGTTTGCCCCAGCTGGAAAGGAAAATGTGATAATGAGGAAAGGGGAATGAGATCTAGTGCTGAGTGGAGACAACACACTCAGACAGAAGCAAAGATGCTATCTACCAACAGTCCTCTACAGCAGATCCCACTGTCTCCAGATGAATAGGATATATAGACACAAAAAAGAAGCAACACATTCAGTTTTCATTGAATGTTACTATCGCTGAAGGGAATGAGGCAAATAGGAATAAAAATCTATTTTATAAATGACTCACTAAAGATTAGGTACTTATGGGGCTGGCCAGTTTGTTCAGTTGGTTATCACTTGGTGTTATAACACCAAGGTCAAAGGTTCAGATCTCCAAACCGGCCAGCTACCAGGAAAAAAAAAAAAAAAAAGATTATGTACTTAGCTCTTGGAAAACAACAGATTTTGGAAAACAAAAGTTAATTTGGTTTGGGGATAAAAATTGACTATTTTGAACATCTAACAACTTCCCAAAAAGGTATTCTTAGCATTGCCCAAATTCATATCTTTATGCTCTTACATGTTTAAACCTCAAGTCTAGTATCCCACATCAATTTCTGGTTTTTTTCATTTAAAATATAGGTCTCCATCAGTTTTCTCAACCTTCTTTTAACCCATATCCCCTTTTGAAAAACTATCTTACCGTTCCTTTTCTCCCAGCTTCTCCCCATCACGTGAGACTCACTGGCCTATGTAATATAAACATAAGGGTGCTTGGATGTTGAGAGTGCTACAACATCCTTAAATCACTTTTCAGGATATGAGAATCCCAACTGTCCCGAAAGCATTATTGTTTTAGAAAAGTTAATGGTGATGATTCAAGAAAAAGTTCAGACTGAAAACTAGATTTAATTTTATTATACAACTTCATGTACGACATTCATTTTGTTATTTTTCTAAGTGCATACAATTAATTATCAGAATATAGATCAACTCACCAGCTTACACAGAGCACTGGTGATGTGTATATGTATATATTTTTTGTTTGTTTTTTGGCGGCTGGCTGGTACATGGATCCAAAGCCTTGACCTTGTTATAACACTGCACTTCTAACCAACTGAGCTAACCATCTAGGCTGATTTTTAATCAAAATTTTACTGTATATGATAGTAAAGGTCACAGATGATAAATTTAAAAATACAAAAATATTCACTTGGGTTTTGATGAACTATTAGTTTTCTTTATTCTGACCTAAAATTCAATCTGTGAATAGGATCTGAGTGCTGAAGTTTACATACTAGATTATCCAGTTTATTGGTCTAAGAGGTAGTAGCTCTAAAATTCCAGTGGGCCAAAGAATCACCTGACTGTATTTAAAATGAAGATTTCTGGATCCTACCCCAAATATTCCAACACAGTAAGACTAACATAGTGCCCAGGAATCTGCATTTTTACAAGGACCTTCATGGAGAAGGTGACATATGACTAAAAACTTGAAGGAGATGAGGGAATAAGTCATGAGGCTAAACAGAAAACACTGTTCAAAGGTTTTCCCTAACATTCTACTTTCAAGTCCCAGACTAGTTTAAACTATTTGTTATATGATGTAATAGCCCACTGGGAAGAACCCTAGAGTGTTGGTCTACAAATCCCTGGTTCTCAAAAGTTCCAATTCTATAGTCAGAAAAGGATAGTCCTTGCTTGGGCTTGTATACAGATCCCGTAAGGCTGCAGAGGGAAACTGCTGCAACCCCAAGCCTGTGCAAAAATATCCACTTCACGTTTTGGTAGAGTGCTTCTTTCTGCAGATCAACCCAAACACTTTCCAAAGACAGCTGTGGTCTCTTATGTAAACTGCACTTCTCTAGAGAGCTGGAGATCAGATGCAGCAACTGTCAAGCTCTTTCCCACCCTGACTTCATCTGAAATGTAACATTACATTAAATATCATTAATAGATACATTAAAAATCAGAGCTCCCTTGCCAATTTACAGTATTACCTAGAAAAATTATGAAACGAGCCAGGACAAGAAAAAAGTTTTTTTCTAAAATGGAGAGGTGTTTTCTAATACTAGATGCTGTGAAAGTGTCAGTGGTGCCTTTAACTGCTTCTGAAGACAACTGAATTTTATTTCCTTTGTGACTGGTATTTTTTCTTTAATAAAACGAAAAGCAGGGAGGTAAAGTGACAACCCTGAAGCTCTTTGTCAAATTAAGAGTAGAAATTCTTTTCTGTAGCCCTCTACCTATAATAGCACCACCATTAACCTGGCATCAGCCATTTATTGAGCACCTACTATGTACTCATATAGAGGTGGAAGGGAATAAAAAAAGATATGGCATGGGCCCTGCCCTTGAGGGGGCTTCCATTCTTACAAACACATCAAAAGACAAACACACCAAAAGATAAACAAGTTACACCACAAGAAGTCACAAAAAGATAATGAGGCTTACACCATGTCTTAAAGTTAGCAGAGAGAGGAGCTAGAGAGAAGGCATGAAGCAAGAATGAGCCTAAGTAAGGTGCATGGCTCACTGGGAAACAGAAAAAGTCCAGTTTAGTCAAGGTAAATTAGTTCACCCAGAACTGCAAAGTAGGAGGTGGTAGCCAGAAAGAAAACTTAGAGCCTTGCTGGAGAGAGAGAGCGAGCCTTCAGCTAGGTCTAGCCAAGGAGTTTGGAATTTGACTGCAGAAAAGTAGGAACAGTTGAAGAGTTTCACACAGAGCAGTATTCAGGAATAGTAATGTGTTAGAGACATGCAGAATAGATGGAGCAGAATGCTTAGAGGCAGTTAGAAAGCTACCAGAAAAATACAGATATTAGGTGATGGGGACCCAGACAGTAGCAACATTAATTATTACTGCTTTCATAGAATACAACTAAATGAGTTGTACTACAGCTCTAAGATCAAGATTTTTCAGAGGATGCTATCAAAATGAAATTTGGAAGTGATATTTTTAAAATTTTCCCAGTAATTGATCATTTTTATGATAAAATATGAAGGGGGAAAGAATTTTATTATTGCTTATAGTTTATTTAAGAGGTTGTGACTTCTATTTTACTTTCCTTGTCCAGTCAATTTGGCATTGTGTTTTTAAGCACTGCCCTAAAACTTCTTTGACATGATAAGAGAGAAAAGTCTAATTTCAAATGAATTCATTAATTTCATGCAAATGAAAATCTTGACTTCAACTTAAATATTGGAAACTCCAAAAACTTGGCAGTGGTCCTTTACGTGTTCCAGAGACCTATCATTCACAATGCTAATGAATGAGTTCCTAATTAGTCATCAGACAAGGGGAAGAAAACTTAGTATCACTTAGAAGTGAAACCTCACCTGTTTTATCAACAGTGCATTAATAGAGGAACAGCCTCTGAAGAAGTGAGTTTGAGTACCAAGATTCTGAATGAACAGAAGCCAAATACCCTAATTTGTTCCAAGGTAACTGACTGGGAATAGAGACAAATTGTTTAAAACTAATTTTTTTCTATTGTGAACCTGATGTTTGGGGCATTATCAAGGATGCTGACCACGTTGGACATATCCATGTGGAAACAGCACATTTTACTACCCCAGAGCCAGGCACGCCTTTCTGCAAGATGGTTCCTCTATCTGAGCTGTAAGAGCTTTATTTCTTTACAACTTAATTCTGGAAAACAGGTACTTCAACCCTGAGTTTTCATTCTGACCTGGTGGTGTAGCAACTACTGTGTGTGAGCCATTAAAATACTAGTGCTTCTACCAACTTCTTTCCAGAGTAAAGAGGATATGGCTAAATCAGTGCTTTTATCCCAGTCCATCAGTCAGTGTGTGTGGCACTCAGGATCACTAGGAGATCTTGAAGACTGAGTACTCAAAACGCAGACTGTGGATGGTTTCCCATCCTCAGCACACCCCCCCGCCACCTGGAGTTTCTACAGAAATCATTGTTCCCTTTACTGATTTCCATAACCATAGAACAAGTTTGGAGATCAATGTGTCTTTAAGCTTTGAGCCTTCTGTATTATGATTTAAGCATAAATTCTCCACAACTCAGATTTGCAATAATAATTTGTAAAATAGAGTTCTGTTAATTAATCCTTTGCCTTAAGGGATGTTAGATATTGCCTTGGGGTTTCTGGAAGACATATATAGCAAGACAGAACTGGCCCCTAACATAATATATATTAGTCTAAGAACACTGGGATGAATTAATAAGCTAAGTGCCTAGGAAGCATAAAATTCACATCTATCTTAAATATGAACATGCTCCAATACTATACTTGGCCAATGACTTCAAGTGGAAGTTTTTGTTCTTACAAATGTTTATTTCCCTCCAAATTTACTGTGTTTTTCTGTAATGATGTGAAAAGTCTTCGTTTCCCTTTTCACAAGTGTTGAGGTTCAAAAGCCAGATCTTAACCATAGACTAATCTTCATCTCTTCAATGTCTTACATGTTGATTTAGTTTCATATGTAAGTATTTATATGAGTTTTCCTCAGGTATTTATACATCAATATATAGATATATATTCCTACACAGATATATACAAGCTTTTTATCCTCATCTTACCACTTGACAATACAACTTTAAATATGTTTTACACAGCTGTTCCTTGGTCAAGGTCATTTGCAAGAGCAAGTCGGTTTCTGAAGAAATCTTGTTTGGTGGGTGAAGGATCCATTGAGGGATTCTCATTAGTTTTTTCCCTGTATTCTGATCCACTGGACCTAAAATCTCAGCACACAGATAAAGTACAGGTTGATTTGGTTTTATTTGTTTTCAAATATTTTATCTATCCAAATTGTTTTGCATTTGTAAAATAGTTGCTGCTAGGTCTGGAATAATTTTACTCTCCTGAATTTCACGACTCAGGACATGTGTATCTAATATTTGTAGCAAACATAAAGAGAATATCTTTCCAATACTTCTTCATAGGGATATCTGTTACCATTGTATATGTCAGTGTAAAATACTATGTGATAACACCGTAATAGGGGAATAAAAGCTCAGAAAACTCAAGAAATCCTATTTTTCATTCAATAAGGTAACTACTCCACAAATTACCAAGGCCCTGAAATTAAAGTGGATGAAATTCATTGTTCTCAATCAAAGTTATCAAAGGCCTTTACTGAGTTTGGGCATTACATTACAAACTCTTGCTTTTGCTTGTTTTCATTTTTAAATGAAAAATTTATTGAAGCCAACCACACATATATACTACATTTTGTAGAATGCAGAAATTAGTACAGTAATCAGATTGAGGAGATACTATAATCTCAACCACCACAAAGGAGACCAAGGCCAACCAATAGTCAACAGCTCTCATCAGTCCATTTGGGTCCCCAGTTGAAGGTGCATTCTTCCTTTATCTTGGGTAAGCCGGTTGGGTAATCCATTCCAGCTCTGCACCTTCTCCAGTTTGTTCATGTCAGAAGTCCCTGGAGGGAGGAGGCTTTCTGGAAATAAGCTAGACTGGGGCCCTTTAGCTAGCTTAAACTCTGAGCTAGAATGGGTAAAACTAGCCCAGTAACTAAGAACCAATATCAAAAGACCATACAGGATGTATGAAAGTGATGTTAGACATCAAGTTCTTTGTCCAAAGCTCCTACACAACTGAACAAGTTCTCCATAGGCTGAGGCTGAGTCAGGTAACGCTTCCACTATCCACAACAGAAGGATAAATGGCCTCCAAGTTCTTTCTCTATCATTGGTATGATACTGTTGAGTCCTCATTCGTTGTGATTAGATAAGTTAATTATGACTCTATCACTTACTGAATTAATTGGGCAAAATTCAAACATCCCTTTACATTATACAAGGAAAGAAGTTGGATCCACACAAAGACTAAAATCCTGATGTCTGAAAATTGATGACTGACTAGGTATTTTCACTTTTCACCCTGAGATTTGATACCACAGAAGAAGCCATAGCTGCCCACCATGCTTTCTACTTCTAGTTGCTAAGCAGCACTTTTCTATTACATACCAGTAAAGAGAGGAAAAACTATTCTACCTCTTAACTCCTATACATCTGGGTAATCACAAAATAAGATTATATTTGGTGGGGAGAAGTCTTCCTTTACAGGAACCTCTCTAACCTCTCCCTTGAAACAGCCTCCACATGCCCCACCCTAAAACTCCAGGCCTTCTCTCATCTCTCTGAACTCCCACCTACCTCCAATTCAAATCATCCCTGATTAATACAGCTATACCCAAAATGTTATAGGAAGATATATGTTTGACCATTTCATTCTTTCCCTATATCTTCTGTTATTCAGAAGACTAGGAATGCCTATAGTTTTAGGAGTAGGATTTGAATTAGGCTTCTGTTTCTTCTGAATTGTTCCCCCACATGACAGTTTCTCATCGGAAAGTCAGCAGTCCAAACTTAAAATCTTCACCTCACATTTCCCCTTTTAGCTACATCTGATCTCTCCAAAACCCAACATGTCACACTTTGATGGTTCCAACATGCAACTGTGTAGTGTTTACCTGGAAATGGGAAAGCTTTGATGTCACCACCAGCCCCAAGGACCACAGAAATCTTCACCAGTTGCGTTCCCATTTCTGAAACAAATGCCAAAATCGCCCTGTCTAGTTTTCAAAGTCCACAAACTCAGCTTAGTTTTTTTCTTTTTTAAGGCTCTTCTGACAAATTGTACCTTCCCTGTCTCCAGTGTCTGAATTTCTCTGCATTTCTTGATATAAGCTATTAATCAACTAATAGCTAACTTGCTAATCCTTTTCAAAATCCATCATTCTACTGTAGCCATGACTAAAAGCTCATTTTTATCCTTTTAAAGATAATTTTAACTGATCTCTTTATAATGCTATAATGGTATATGGCCACCTGGCCACCTGGCCTCTTCCAAAAGCGTGGCTGTTAGTCTCTGAAGTAACACATACCTAAATTACGAGGAAATAACCTGAAGAATCTAGGAGAAAGGGTCAGCGTATTTGCTTTTATTCCTTTTCTCTGTAATAAAAATGGCTTTTGTGCTCCCAGAGCCATTTTGGCTCACTGCAGTGCAGATCTGAGCAAACACTAAAGGGACAGGTAGGCAAACATTCGTGGGGAATGACACACAGCCATCCAAGCATTTGAGAAACAGGAAAAGAGAACAGGCCTGTTGCTAACTTTCCTTCCACTCAAATGACAGAGACAAAGAAAATAGCAAGTTGAGTAGGTCATAGAGAGCATAGATTTGCTACAAATAAACTTTGAAAGCTTGTTAGGAGCTGGGGAAGGGGAGGGGTGGAATCCAGTGCCACAGAAACCTCTGACTTAAGAGTTGCTTCTCTCATTAGAAAGACTATCTTTCTTGAAAGCTTTGGAAGACTTGCATATGGAAAAGTAAGGAGTAGGGGAACACCCATCCTGTTGGCTAAATCAGTTCAGCCTTGGTAATCAACAGGCTGACACATGAGCATTCATTTAATGAATACTTGTTGAGAGCTTACTATGTGCTAGGTACTATACCTTGCAGCTAGGTTATCATTACGTTGAACTGTAAGCCCCTAATGGGCAGGAACTATTTCTTTTATTTCTTTTGTGCTGGACGGAACCTCATACACTGAAGACCCTTAACTTAATGATTGATTTCAAATGACCTATGGAGAAACATTTGCTATCAGTATTAAGTAATCTTAAATGTTTATCCCTTCAATTTTACAGTGATATAGGAAATGAAATCATAAATGAGCAAGAACCTCAAAGTGAGTAAGAAAGGGGGAGGGACTTGAGAAGGAGGAAGAGAAGAAGGTTAGGATAAAATGATCAATTGATTCTTTAGCAGTCCTGCTTTCTATTACTTGTTCTGTTCCACAGCCAAGACTGAGCATATAAAAAAAACAGTTAAGAAGACAACAAAAGAAGAGGATTCACTGACATTCAATTACATGGGGCCCTGTAGAAGTACTCTCTGTGTGTGATTAAGAAAACAGAGATTCTGATGTGACTGGTGGGGTGGGGTAATGACCAGCATGGAGACACTCTGAGGCATGTAAGTTATAAAGTGCTAAAGAGGAAGAGAATGGATGAGGAAGTAGAATTAATCATTTGGAAGCCATATGAAGCCATATTCTTCATCTTTTACTCCCCCAAATTTGAGATAAAAAATTTTTGATAAAAAGAGAGAGCACCATTTACATTCCCTGACCCTAAACTGTCTTATGTAATCCTCTTCCCCACTGCCACACCCCCAAGCAAGAATACCCATTAACCTAAGTGCAAGATATACATACTCCTATAAAGATGAAGTAGCATTTGCCTCAGACTTCCCAACGATCTAGGTTTGACAGCCTCCGCATACATCCTTCTACAGTGGGACAGTTTGCCTTCCATACTGCTTACAGGCATGGGGATAAGTATTCAGTCCAGCATCAGGTCTGTTCCTGGCTTTCCAAGAATCCTCATTAAAAATGTTTAAAATCGGGGCCGGCCCGGTGGCGCACTGCTACAGTGCGCCGCTTGGGAGCACAGCGGCGCTCCCGCCGAGGGTTCGGATCCCACATACAGACCGGTTCCCGCTCACTGGCTGAGCGAGGTGCGGGCACAGCACCGAGGGTTGCGATCCCGTTGCCGGTCCCGGTCTGGTACGGGCGCTACACTGAGGGTTGCGATCCGTTGCCAGACACGAAAAAAGACAAAAAAAGGAAAAAAAAAAAAAAGTTTAAAATCACTTAACATTTTCAAATTTTAAGATATATAGTTTTTATTCTGATCAATTCTGGGCAGATTTCAGGGACATGTGACCTGGTATCTACCCAGGACAAACGTGCCTGAGATGGAAACAATCAGAGGGTCATCCTTTTCCCCAAATATCATGGGCATTTTTCAGGATTTTTTTTTATGATGCCAACTTGACTCTCCCTTTTGAATCCTTGTGGATATGAGCATTCGGCCCTCCCAGCCTCAGAGGGAAGAGAACCCTTTCTCAGGTTTTCTGCTGCATCTGGCTCCATGCCTAGCTTCATCCCGAAGCAGCATTCTGGGTGTGTGGGGCCACCAGCCAAACAAGCCCCTATGGAACAAAAAGCGTGTCAGCGTAGACAGGAATGAGCCTCCAGGGGCTGTGGGGGAGGAAGGCAGCAAGCCCCAGACAGGACACAGGCGGCTTTTCTGGCACTGGCCATTCAGACCTGTGAGGCCAGACTCTGGAGTAGTGTCAGTACCCAGGACTAGTCACTTCTTCAAGTCACAGGGCTTGATGCCAGCCTGATCTCCTGACACACAGGAGAAGAATAGGCTGAATGTCTCCTGGTTCCTTCCTGTACCTGTCCACATGCCTGTCTTCAGAGTACAAGTTCCTATGTAATGGTTGGGACCATGTCATTCATGATTCCTACAAGTGTGTGCACGTAAGAAAGAATGTTCAATTAATGAGAAGAATGGTGTGTTCTCATCAGAGTTAAAAGCCACTGACCTTCCTGTGCTATGCTGGGGCCTCCCTATCCTCCCTCTCTACTTTATCGCAATGGAGCAAACTTTCTATGGTCCTTGGATAAAAACACTCAGGAGAAGCTACTTAAGCTGCTTCTTTATCCCATGCCAAGTCCCCAAAGTGCCCACTATGGCTCCTGAATCACAGGCCATAAGCAGGCATCCAGGCATCACCTAATGGTACTGACTGTACTCGGCCAGATACAAGAAGCCAGGAAAGCCTGCCAGAGAGAGTCATCTATGGCTCCACGTTCACTTTCACTTGGATAATGCTTCAGATTTTAAATACAAAGTATAGTGCCAGTATTGGTGGCAGCAATATGATCGATGCGGGAGGAACTTATCTACGAGAAAGAACAAGAAGACTAAGGGAATCCAGTAGCCCTTTACTTAAGGAGAATCCCAAAAAGCTGCAAGAGGACTAAAAGCAATTCACCAACACAAACGAGTCCTCAGCATTATACCAAAGTCTGTGGGGAGTACAGAAGACAAAACCTAAGTCTGCTATGTGGTAGGTCTTTAAAATTATAGGTCCCAAAGCCACATTAATTTCTTCTTTCAGGTGATAAACAGACATGTAATTACTCAGACTGAGCTACAACAAAGTCAAACTATAGATAATGCAAGTCTCCACATTAGAAAGGACTTGAGTGATTTCTTCCCACCCAATGTGGGGATACCTTTCACATCATCCCTTGCCAGAATCATCTAGCTTCTACTTAAGAGAACCCACTCCCTCAGGAGGCAGCCGGCTCCAGTTTCAGGCAACTGCATTTTTAGGGAGTTCTTCCTCTAACCCATTGCTCCTACTTCCGCCCTGTGGACACAGAAAAGACAAATCCATTCCCTCTGCCTCATAGTAACTGGTAGAGTATTTGCTTACATTTCTCTGATAAACAGGAATCTGTAAAGGAACCAGTGGTGGATCTATTGCTCGTTGCTTTCCAACAGACAGTAGCCAGTCATTACAAATAGTAGTGGGCAAAATGTGGCTGTTTGTTTTGAGAATACTGTGATTAAAAAAAAAAAAAAGATAGACTCAAGCAGTGCCTTTAGGAGTTTGGAATCCTTAGAAAGATTTAGGAGCCTAAACCCCAAGGTCAGGCCAGAGAGTTGTCTGCTTCCAGGTTCTTCCACCCTATCACACTTGATAGAGGCAGGCACTGGGCCAAGGAAGATCTAGGTCTATGATCATAAAGAGAAGCATACAGTACTTAACTCTTCAACCCCTGAATAAGGTAGTCTCAGGACGCAGCAACAGTCACATGCATACATCGGTTGCCTTAGCAAAACTGAAAGGGCACAGTAGGGCTGTAGCTAATTGCAGAACTGTTGTTCTCCCCTCCTCTTCCACCTCCTTCCAGTAACAGGTAGGGACCAACAATCAGAGACCCACTAATCTCAGCACCACCCTCCCCATGGGAGGAGAATTAGACAAACCATTAAAAAAAAAATGAAGTCCTTTATAAAGTACCCTAATACAGTAAAAGAAAAAAAACCCCTCACTCCCGGCCTGCCCCCCATTCTTCCATCAAGACCATAATCTAAATCAGCCAGTAACCTCTACCTTCAAGATGAAAGTGATCTCCCTGTGCTTCCTCACACGCCAGCAGTTCTCCAAAGACAGCAACAATGCATTTGCTTAACTTTTCCATCCATTAAAATATGAACACTTACTGTTTAAAAGTGACTGCAAGAACCTCCTCTACCATGAAAAAGTAAGTAGCAGGGACAATCTCTCTAAGGGAGAGGGAAGTAGTCTGGGGACCAGTGAATATAGAAACAGCAGGCTCTCAGGCAGGCAGTGGCAGGACTGGCAAGTCCCGCTATGGTCAAATGTTAATGGTCACCTCTTTCTTCCTTACTTTTTATGCTGGGATTTGGCCACTGCCTCCCAGACTGTATGACAGTGCTGGCCAAAATGCCTGGTGAGTGATATTCCATACGACAACAAGGACTTAGAATCTCAGAAGGACCACAGAAATGCCTTGGTTTTGACTCCTATGAAGTATGGAAACTTCATTGACATGATTTTTAACTAGGGCCTAAGGCAAATCCATTCATTCAGGAAAAACACTAGCAGAAGTCCCAGTAAATATGTACTAGCACCCAGGATAACTATAGGCCCCTAAAGACAGAGGTGCTGAAATGCCCTTACAAAACTTTCCACATGTGGGGAGATTCTGATGGAGCACCCATTATGCCCAATTCCAATAGCAGATCCCATGCCCTCCAGTCTAAAAGGAATTTGACTGTCACCAGCTCATTTCCCAGGGGACCTCCTCTGCTCACTCTTCTCAGGACACATGACTTTGGTAACAAGGAAGGAGAGATAAATGACAGAAGAGGCAGGGGATTGCTTCTACTCTGAGATTACAATGAGAAACATCTTCACCCCGCAGGAACCGTGGCTACTGGGTGCAGGCACTGAACTTGAAACAGATGTATGAGACCAGGCTACGTGATACTTATTACTGTTAAAACCTCAAGACTTAGCCCAAAGGGAAATGAATTACAATGCTGTCTTGTCTAAGGGCTACTCACTTCTTTTTAAAGAGCTTGCGGAAGGAGCTGCGAAAGCCCCCTTTCTGGTCTTGCCTGGGATTCTGATCGCTGAAAGATGTTTGTTCACTTTCTCTTTCTTCCTTTGGACAGAATCTGGTGGTGTCTTCTAAATGCATCTCCTGAAAACACAAAAGAGATTTTTTTTTACTCTTTTCCAAAGCTTACATCTATCCTGACTGTGGGACAATGTTTTAGCCTTGTCACTTTCCTCACCCACCTCAAAAAACTACTGGTAGGCACTCAATCCCAACTAAAGCAAACTCAAGCTAATGAAGAAATCAGTAGGTGGAAAGAGGATAATTTTCTGCTGAGTGTGGTATGTTCTATGTAACAAGGCACATAGTCTGGAGTAGGATATAATTATGACAAAAGATAAGGAAATAAAGGAATTTAGCTAATGTTTAAAAAGTATAGAAATTAAATTCCTATTCTGGCACCAACACTGTTTTGCTGGAAAAACAATAGTAATCCCCTCAAATCTGTAGGTATATTTCTCTTTCTACAAAATAAGAAAGTTCCTTAATTGTAATACTAGTTTTAAATTCATGTTCCTAACTCTCCATTTTAGTCATAAATGAAAGAAATACTTTTTGAGAGGTCAGCCTTGTGTAGAAGTAAATGTCAGTTAGTATTCCCAACTTTCATGTATGCTTTTAATACAGTTTTTACAATTCTTAATCCAAGGTATTTGGAGTATAAAGTAAACTAAATTAAAAATAAGGCTGTATCTTTTGTGAATTCTCTAGTTTCTTTTTAAATATGAGGTATGCTAAACAACAAATGTGCATATATATATTTATATGCATATGAGCTAGAGATGCGTATATATATATATATATATATATGTTTATATTCCGTATGAACAAAACGTTTACCTTGAGATGACCGTAATCTAAAAGCAGTCTAAAAACAGTTGATTAATTTTGAGTAAACTTAAGAGAACCCAAGAAGTCAAAGCAAAAAAGCACACCTATCATGCCCTGAAAGTACCATGAGTGGGACTGGTGACTGCTTGCTAATAGAGAAGCAAAGCGTCAGAATGAATTTTTTTCAGGAAACATACAGGCTTAACTTTGAAAACTTAACTTGGGGTTGCAGTAGCAGCTCTAGAATTTCTCTGAGATTCTACTAAGATTCATAATTAAAATATGGAGATCAAAATCTTGATGGCATAACATAGTGTTTCTCAAAGTGTGGTCCTCTGACTACAGGATCAGCTGGGGCCTCTATTTAAAATGTAGATTCCTAAGCCCCACCCCAGAATTTCTCAGTCAGAATCTCTGGAATTAGGCCTAGGTAATCATTATGCACACTTAGATTTGAAATCAGTGGTTTAAGGCACACATCTGCCCACCTGCACTTAATGTTTATATGAATCTCCTAGAAATCTTCCTAAAATGCAGATTCTGGTTTAGCAGGTCTGAGGTGCAAATTCTGCATTTATAACAATTTCCCCTGTTATGTATTCACTACTAGTCCAAGGGTCACATTTTGAGAAGTGGGCTTTTAGGGACTAAATATATTAATAGTTTAAGGAAAATCTTTCTATGGAACCATAATCTTAATAGCATCTTGCATTTATATAGCATTCCATACTTTACAAAACATATTCACAAACTTTATCTTATTTGATCTGTTCCTCACAACAACCTTGTGAAGTAGGTATATATTGTCTTATTTTTATAGGTGAGAAAACTGGAGGCACAGAGAAACCAAGTGAATTGTCCAAAAGCACACAGCTATTTGGCAGCAGAGCCAGGACTAGAACCTAGATCTCCTGACACCTAGTCAGGTACTCTTTGTCCTAAAGCATACTATCTTCTTTCTTGGCTCTTAAGAGACAGAACACTAAGGACTAAGCTTTGCTGGCTCTGCTGGGTAGGGGTGGAAGATACACACAACATATTTGAAGAGATGCAACAGTAGTTTTGCACATCTCAACAGCAAATAGGTGACACCTTTAAGGGTATGGCTTTTTTAGTTTGTCTTTTGCAACTAAAATACCCATCCCATTCCCATCTCAAAAACATACAAACATGCACAAACATGCACATACATGCCATGCATATATACACACACATAAACATGCACACATGCACATACATGCATATACACATGCACTCTGCATGCCACCTCTCTAGGACTCCCAACAACCCAGGCCTTCTGAGTTTTTAGAAAGAAAAATTTTGTCCAAGCAATGGGAACTTTGCATGCTTGAAAATACTGCTAGACAAAAAGCCTTTTTAAACGGGCTTCCAGGATGGCTGGCTAGCTTAGTTGGTTAGAGTGCTGCCTTGTAATACCAAGGTCAAGGGTTCAGTTCCCCACACCAGCCAGCCATGGGGGGACTGGAGGGACTGACTTCCATTCCTCCTTGGTGTCTCTTCCTGAACTTACTTGGCTCACATCTTACACTGTTGATGCTGAAGCTTGCTGTTCAGTATGTGTGATTAACAATCCCTAATATATTGTTTATTGTTATTTAGTATGTCTAGTAAACAGCCACAAATATATCATTCATTGTTTGCTTCTCAGATATATTACTTGTTATTTCTGATTAATGGTTTTTCCTTGACAATTGTTGAAACCCCAATTTTTCACATATCAACTAAGAAAGGAAAAAAAGATTTTTTTTTTTGGCAGCTGGCTGGTAAGGGGATCCAAACACTTGACGTTAGTGTTACAACACCACGCTCTAACAAATGGAGCAACTGGCTAGCCCCCAAAAAGACATTTTTATGAACATTATGAATATTACAGCATAGACTATACTAGTTAGAAGGCCCATGTCCCTTTGAATCGGCACTGTTATTTCCTTTCTACTTCCCTTGTTAATGAACTTTAAACTTGGACACAAACCTAAGATTGATTTGCCCAAGAAATTTTGCCTAACAGAATTTTATCAAGTTTGGAGTTGAAAATCTTAGGTAGAAGAAAATCTGAGAACCCTGGGAAACCTCAGCAACTTTAGCTGGGCACACTAGGTAGGTGCTTTTGCCCTCTGCAAGAACCACAGACTTTGACTCCTGGAGTCCTGGTGGGCAGCAACCTGCAAGGCTCTTCATGATTCTGCCCCTCCCTGTCCCTCTGGCCTAACGTACACCACTCCCACCTGGCCCAGTATGCCAAAGGAAAAACATCACTCTGCTGTTTCACGCCAAGGAGCCTTTTTCATGCTTCCCTACCTCATTCTTCCCCCAACCAACTTCTAGGCAGCTTTTAAAATCAAATTCGGACATTAAATGTATCTAGGAGGACTTCTCTGACCAACATCACCCCAAGAGATTTTTAATACTCCTCCCATGTGCTCCTGCAGTTTATTATAACTGTGTTTCTGTGTCTCCTTCCTGTACTAAGCCAGTGGTCCTGGAGGACAGAGACTGGGTGCCATTTACTTCTGAATTCTCAGCAATTAGTACAGAGCCTGGTGCAAGGCAGGCACTCAATGTTTGCTGAAAATTTTACGAATGTAAGGAGTCACTAGTCATCAATGTCTTCTCACTCACCTGAAAATGAGAATAGGTGGAATAGAAAGGTGGTGACACAGGCCAGAGCTATCATGTCAGAAACTGCCTTTGTTCCAATCACATACAGAGAAATTAAGTATTTGCTTGGGAACTACTAGTCTTTTCATGGATACATTCTTTAAATTCCCAGAGGCTTGCAGACACCGAGGTTAGACATCAAAATACCTCAACAGTCATTGAGGCCAAAGAGAGTGGTTTTGAGTCAATGCTTCTTTGGCTATTTTAGGATGTCCCTGACCCAACGGAGTTTGCAAGTTAATGTGATACCCTTTTGGAGTCAAAACGAAAGCAAGCTGAAATGAACTTAGCTTTGCAGCAAACCTCGCAGGAGTCTACATTGAGACAGGGCAACCTGCCACCCCCCAAGCTACAAACAAGGATGGTGGGGGTAGGGAGTAGAAGAGGCTGGCACGTGGCGTTCAATATTTTGAACATTTAAACAAACAGGTGCACCTAACAGGCAGAGGAAGAAGCAGACGGGTCTGGGACTCGCGTGCCGTGCTTTGAAAAAAGTGCAACTTTGAGGTGCCACAAGCTTAAGAAGTAAGACACCCCCCTAACCGTGTGTGTGTGTGTGTGTGTGTGTGTGTGTGTGTGTGTGTGTGTGTGTGTGTGTGTAAGAGGATCTTCTTCGCTCTTTGCCGTCACACCCGTACATGTATAATATGCTCTTTGTGTCGTCGTACACAAAAGGAAAACGAGCGCTGCCACTTGCCTTCAACGGCCACTGCGGCACGCGCCTCCCCCAAGGCGGGCGCGGGGCTTCCCGGCCTTTGGCCCCGCCTCTGCCACCGGCCGCCTGCCCGGCCCGCCGCCAGCGCGCTCCCCAGCCCCTAGCCTGGCCTTGCTCTCACTCCCCGCCAGCTAGTGAGCTCGGACTGCTTCCCGCAGATGGAGGCCCGGGGCTGCCGACGCTGTGGGATTCGCTTCGGTTTTACTTTACCCTCCTTACTTCCAAATAGGTCTGCTTTTCGCTTTGGGACCT